GACTTCACTAAATTCTCACATTTGAAAAAAAAGCATTGCTGTTCAAACCATGTGAAGCCTCGAATGCTTTTTAAATGTCTCGCCACGGAAAACAGACGGAAATCAAACGCGACATCAAAAAACAGCGCAATTTGACATCGTAATTACAATGAGGTAAAGATTGCAAAATAGATTACGGGACAAACAACAACCGCTTTTATATGGAAGATCAAAAATCGTACAGCTATTAGTGAGAGATTTTCTTGGGTGAGTATACGACTGCAGACATCAGGATATTGATGATGATGAAAGTGCGATTTTCATAAAAATACCACTTTCTAGAATTTTTGAGTGAGGTGCAAAAGATTATTAGTCAAGTAGAGCATAGCAGAAGACGGTAATAGTGAGGATTTAAAATCACGGCAGTTTCGGGAAAGAAGAAACTTGTGCAGAATGTAAACTACAGCGATCTATAATTATTTGTACTAGAGCAAAGCTCTTTTTCTCGCTCATCGCTGCAATCTCTAAAATTCAAATTTGTAGAAGTGTAGCTCTGTTATGAAAAAACCAAACGTTATTTTGCAAAAACGCTGAGAATTTTGTTTCTGCCATATAGATGTCACCCAAAAAATGACTATGACATTCAAATCTTATTTGTAAGCCTATGGAGTGTCTCATTCACATACTCTTTAGTTCAAGAAAAATTGCTTGAGGATACGAATGCTGAAATCAAAGGCTATCACTTCGATATGGTTTATGAGAGCAAGAAAAGGATACGTGTTTTAGTTCACATTCCTAATGCTTTCAACTGTATAGGAGCCAGCCTCAAACTGCTGACAGCCAAGCTGAATTCAAACCTCACATGAAAAAGGGTCCAAAAAGCTAGAAATCAAAAATTAAGAAAGGACATGTTATTGACATGTATAAATCGATCTTTTGCGTCATGAAGGAAGATTCTGGAAATATCGAAAATTTCTTTGTGACGCCTATTCAAATTCGGTTGAACTTTAAAGAAGTTTTTTTTCTGTAATGAATGGTAAAAGTTCTTGGCTGTCCAATGACTCATTGTTTTAATTATTATCAAAGCAATTTGCAAATTGAAAAGAAAAGGACATCAACAAAAAATAGACAATTTAAGTCCGCAGTGAAGGCTATTTGCATTAGAGAAATTTCGAGGTAGTTATCAAACATAAAGATTCTTTTATTGGCAAAGGCTCCCAGAAATGCTCTCAAAATTCATATTGTAAAGCTTTCACTTTAGCCAGAAACTGCCAGTAATATCCATAATAAATGATTGATTGAAAAAATGAAGAGCGCCACTAAACTTTTTTTCCTCAAATTTACAACGAATCTTCTTGTGGTGAAGCATGTAAATGTAATTTTCTCGGATCAGAGGCAAGACATCATTACGGAGGGGTCTTGGGACTATGGAATGTGGTAAACTAACAACGCGTGACGACACTTCCTCCTGCCCCAAATTGAATGAAAAAGCGGACATTTTGCCGATAACAAGGGTGGTACAAAATCTTGGAATCTAACCCGCACCTCGAACTATAGAAGCGGTGACTATCGTATTGCGCATTCGTTCTTACTGTAGAATTAGCTTAGACAGCTTCATATGAATTATTAGGTTGATACATAAGTCTTGCACCAAAAAATTGGAAAATTCAAATCTTAGCCAATCCCAACAAAATCTTCTATTCTGATAATCATCAACTAGAGAAAATCTTGCACTTTCCAGAAGTTGAACCAAAATATATTATTGTCATATTGCAATGATGGTGATAAAGGTAAGCATTTACAAAAGTAAATTTTGAATTTCGCTCGCTTAAAATAGTTAACGTCTACTAAATTCTCATTTTAATTTTGCTTTAGTTTTATAACATGCTCTTTCGTAAAAAAAACCGAGCTAATTGGACGATTCTAGGAATAGTTATGATTTCAAATGTTTTTACTCAACTTTTTCCTTACAAGTCGAAAAAATACTACTTATAATAAGATACAAGCTTGGGAAAATGTTCAAAAAATATATGATCTTCTGTCAAAAACTTGATCGGGCATTTTTCTAACGGATCAGCTTTGGAGTTCTTAGAGAAACTCCTATAAATCTCCCTACAAAACGGTCTTTTTAATTTTTTTTCCCATTCGACTCCTACCTTGGAAGAAGAATGCATTTGCAAGAAATCTGTAGTGCAACGGCTTTCCGACAAACCAAGGTTTGCTACCAATTACCGATGTGCGAGCTCAAACTGAGCGTGAGACTGATTTTCGTACGGCACAAGGAAATTTCGTACCCCAGCACGCGAAGAACAAAGAATGGGCGAGGTTCTGAGGAAGTAAGACCCCAAGTTTAAGTCATATGGGAGCAGATGAGGAAAAAAAGGTGAAAGCTGAGCCGAAAATAATGACAGCGCATAGAAAATTTAGACCAATCTTTGACCTAGTCGCACATTGAGACCGTTTAAAATGTTGAAACAAGACATTAGTGAAGATAGATCAAATATGCGACATCCATGCACAAAACTTTGGTATCATTCTTTCTATGACTAGGAGACGCGGGACCGCATTGCACACACTGTCTAAACAAGCCTAATCGTGTACTTAGCAGGCTTATACTTGTTGCATGTCTCGTCCAGGTTTATTCACTCTTTGAAAACAGGGAAGAACAAACTCAAACCTGTTAAGACAATGTTCGCAATGAAGTCTCACCTCCATGTCATAGAATAGATGATATGTATTGTTACGTCCTTCAGAAGCAGATTTTATATGAAAGCATATCCCGTCAAAACCGCTACATTGCAACATAAATCGTTCGCTTACCCAGCGAAGTCAACAAAAGTAATGCTAATGGGGGCGTAGTAAACGAAAAACAAACATTTCGCCTATACACCCCACTCAAAATCATAGTCAATTAGGCTGTGGATTGGTCTCAAATGAGCAAGTGGAGTACCTCTGATTTGGTCATTGTGACGAAATCAAACAAAGAAATTCCTCAAGAGGCTTTGTATTAATCTGAAGTTCAATCTTGGTTCGGATCTTGCATTTAACTAACTCAAAACATTTGAGAGATATCGGGAAAGATATCTGTAGATCATGATATTTGCAAATAAATTTAAGATTATGGACAGAAAGAGGGTCATAAAACTAAATTGTGACGACCGCGATTACAGAATCTTGCGCATTTTTTGCAGCCGCACTTAAAATTTCCATAATTTATCGTTTTACTTTATGGGTTTGCATCGCAGGAACAATCAGTAATTTCTGCTTTGAGCACTCGTAAAAGGCAAAGTTTTCTCTCTGCAGAAGATGCTGAATTGAACCCAGAAGTAGTCCAAAACTCCTACGGTAATAAGACTACATGAATTATGAAAATGATCATAGAAGCAGCACGTCAAGCCCTCACTTGCTGTTTGCCGAAAAAGGGCACACATGCGCCAAAAAAACAAACCATCAAGAAGAGGTAGCGCAAAAAAGGATGACGCCCGTAGACGCCTCATATTTCAAATGGGATTTTGAGCCTATAAAAATACCCCGCCCCAGGCGAAGCGTCTTTATTGACACAACAGCGTTTGAATGGCCCATTGTAAAATGGAACCTTCAACAATAAAAGTGAAGGAAGATGGGCAGGCTATTTATTTTGCAAAAAAAAAAAACTCATGGCACCCTTGGAAGATAATAAATGAGACCTGACTTCAAATATTTACCTAAAATTTCGATCGAATGAAATGTATACAGACGTCATCACCGCAATCACATGGCTCTTGTAGAAAAAAATTCAGTTCTATTCGAATTTTAACAAGCAGATATCAGCAACTCGCACTTTTCTCCATAATGTGAGGTGCTATTTAAGATTCCAGATGGAGTACACATGCCGAGCGCGTACTTTTTAGGCCTCGGACATAACTCGATTTCAGTCGCGACGCGATTTGGCAGTGCTCCAATTGACCATAAGTCATCATAAGTGCATCCCATATGCACAGAAAATATGGTATTTCATCTGTTTAGGAAAGTTATACACATTATGTTTTTGTAGTCTGCCATTGATTGAAGATTTAGAGAAGTGGCAATTTGTCAGATCGCGTGGCGACTAAAATCGCGTGGAGTATGCCCGAGGCCTTAGAAGTGACACGAGAACAAAGATTCGATAGATGTCGCCCACCTCTCGTGATTCTTTAATTAGCACAATCATAAACAACATATTCGCGCCAACTTTCCATGATTGAAAACTGGGTCTGACTTCGCTGTAATGATAAAACCTCCACCCCAGGTTCTTGTTCCTATGAAAGCAATCAGGCCAACCATCCCCATACCAAACCAGTTGTTTCATACTGCTACCGCAACACCAGTGGCCGTACTCATCAACGAACCCAGTGGGCTCCGGAACACTGGGTAGATTTGACCCACAAGATCAGTATTCACGAAGCTAGTGGGTTCGCGAATCCTCCAGTGCTTTTTGTGAATATTGAACCAACCCAGTGACACCGTTTTCGCTTACCCGCTGGATTCGTTGATATTATGCCCACAGATGTCATGTTGTGATTCCCAAAGTGCTGAGAAAACTTCTTCATTTCCATTAAAATTCCCAAATACAAGCAAAGCAAGTGATGACTTTATGTTGAAAGCGCGGGACTCTCGCTTAGTACCACCATTTATCACCCATTTTTGTTCTGGGAATGAAATATATCATGCCCGTATAGCCGAGTGAATTTGCCACCATGGGGTCTTGCGTGGGCAACATTTGCGCGCGATGACAATGTGCGCTCCATGGCTATTTTTTACGTGGAATTTACGAGCAACTCTTTAGCGTTCATAAGTATCCGCAGGGCCAGCAGATATATCAACCGGCGAATCATGTAAACTACGGTTTATGGACATGTTTGCGTAACTACTCATCATTCGGTCCTCAAACTTCCCCCCGAATCCACCTTCCTGTATATCCTGCCTATTAACAGTATTACACTAGGTCTACAGACTATGACCTCTAAAATTACCTCCCACTGGACACGAAATCTCGAACTTACCCGTTGACTTAGCGTAGGATATGCATGACTTTCACCTCCGGGATATATCGGTAGCCCATTTGGACCAATTTTTGGCAGTTGAATCATGCCGGTAGGAGGAGTTGTGTATCCGGCTCTGAATGAAAATAATAATTGATGGGTAACATACTTCATCTTACATTCAGCCGCAAAATTATTAGAGCAATCCTCGTTCTCTGGGATGGAGCAAGGGAACAAGGAAGCTACCAAGCTCACGAGGCATCACCCAAAATGCATGATAAATTGATGCGACAGTGGTTGAGTTGCAAATGCGAAAGCTACCGCAAATGCACAATAACTTTCAAAATCCATTCCTAGCCATTCACTCTCCCAAGAAAATAACAAGTAGCAAAATCAAAGGAGCTTTTCTATTTATTCACAAAACGAGATAAGCGCAACAATTCCTGAGCAAAATGTCAAAGAACACTAGAAAGAAAATAATACTTCTCATGAGGTAAGAGTTCGAGTAGAATTATGACAATACGCATTATAAAATACAAGGAATTATGCTGGCAGCAAATCACATACAGAAAATGCGAAATTTCGTGTTTATACTTGCCTAAACTCTGTGCACACTCAACCAGCCTTCTCCAGATACACAAACACACTCCCTCGCAATACAGATTTAGAATCTGTATATAATCAACAAGCCATTCTCCACATATAATGAAAAAAGCACTAATTTGGGAAGCAAATGCAGCATCCTATTCTATTACACGGACTAATCTAAGAAAAATCAAAAATTTGCTGACCCAGGGTTAGGCCCTGCGTTGTAGTCGTAGCTTGGTGGAGGAACATTCGTTGGGACTTCGTAAATGTGACTTCCTGAACAAGAGAGCTTCACAAACGACTTAAAAAAAAATAAAAGAATATATACCTCCGCCACTTCCTCCGTAATCATCTCCTGGTGGTGGAGGCGGAACATTAGGTGGTGGGAAATGTCCAGGTGGTGGTGGTGCGCCTGGTGGGAGATTCCAGCCGTAATTCACGCCCTGAACAGTACTTTAGAATCACCATGAAAAAAATTTTCGAATGACTTACGTCACTTGGCGGAGCAGCGGGCGGAATGCCTCCTACTGGAGCACCCGGAGGTATTACTGGTTGTGTTGCATCGGTGACGTTAGTAGTGGTACCAGCCTGCTTGAAGTCAATGAGCATCTTTTCTGCCTGAGCCACCTCATCATCTCTCATGACATCTGGATCTGGCGTGAATGGAACGCCGGCACTCGCAGCAATCTCGATCATGTACCTAAATAATTGAGATACGAATTTTCTGATGGAATTTTTAACTAATGAGGATAGTTTATGGGACCTTAGATGAGTCTGAACACGGAATGTAAAGTTTGCAAAGCTCATGAAAAAGTAAGCTAGAAACGTTTTAGAGACCTCAAAAGAGCCAAGGAACCATAATGGGATCCTTTTACAAAAACCTGCTCATATCAAATAAAAATGATTGCAATGTTTGACTTTTAGCCTGTAAAGAATCTAACTCCAAACAAACTAGCAAAGGGTAGCGATACGAGGAAATGATATGAGAAGAGAAAGAACTAATCGAGCCAAATAAGAGCGAAAGAGAAAGAAGCGTTGAAGTGACCAGATAAGAGTGCAAATTTGAAACACTGTAAGAAAAAAGTCAGCGTGAGAATTTTGACAACCTAGTAAATGGCAAGATAGTTTGGTTGACGATGAGCAGCCATTTGCTAGAAAGAAAAACATACTGAAGTCGTAAAACAATTCCAGCTAGGAAAATATACTGGCTGTTAAAAAGAATGTATTAAACAGACATAGTTCATGAGAAGAAAAATTGCAAATTCCAGAAACTATTCAGAAATCATGTTCTTCGCATAACACAAAACTGTGCCAGTAAGATGCCGAAACTACTAATATTACAAAACCATTGTGAAAAACTAGTCGCCTTCGAAACTTTATAAACTTTTATTACTAAGGAACTGACCCGAGAAAGGTTTTATATGAATGCTGACTATCGTAAGGAGGAAAAATAATCTAATAATTTATTCCTGTTCCCATAATCGAAGTTAACTCCATGCTGTAATTGATAAATATGTTGGGAGGAGAGCTTCTTACTCTGCAACCTCATGAGCATTGATATGTGAACGATCTTAGAGAAGATGTAGGAAAGTCAGCAGACAGAAATGCAGAACCGTGACATGACTGGAGGAGTGACGTATCACCAAATAATGCTGCGAAAAGAAACCGCAAGAGACAAACTTATTATGAAACTGATGATAAATAAAAAAAGTTCCATAGCATAACTCAACAAAAAGGAAACATGAGAAAAAATCAAATCCCACCTTTCTACCATCACCTTTGGTGGTGCAGCTACACTCAGTTTGCTGATAAGTTTCGGAGAAACTTTAGCAGGGAACTCCAACTGATTTGCCCTGGCTGCTTCAGCGAACGGTTTACCGTACTTGATTGTCAGTTGATCGCTTATGGTCTGCAAACAAACACAATATTCGACGCATTGAGAATAAGTTGAAGCGCTACCTTGAATTCCTGGATGTCATTGGCAAGTCTCGGAGCTGCCCACATGATACTGATAACAGCTTCAGCAATACCATCATCGAGTGTTCTAAACAGAGATTGTACTTCTGAGTTATATTGGATCAGAATCTTACTTCATTTGTTCAATCAATCCGAATCTGGCGAGTAGAAGATCGCAGTACATCTCCAGTATTTCGAATGCTTCAACCAAGTAATCCTCGCGAATGATGTGCTCCACCCGTATTCGAGCCCGATCGGCCTTATTTGCTGTAAAAAAAAACAATGAGATTTAGGTTCCGAAGCACAAACTGGTTTGCTATTCAAACTTCGCTGAAGTGATTGATCCCTAGCACATAACGAAAAACATTGAACGACTATATACGCCTTGAAAGTGTGGGTACTTCCTACAGTCCCCCTTGAGTTCAGTCTCGTTGGAAAACAGACATAACTGATGACAGAAAATAGTTTTAGATCAAGTTCGATTGCAAAAAAGAACCGATCTTATCAACACTGTGCTGCTGGTTTAATTGGCATACTACGCGATATGTTGAACAAAATATATGAGATGTATAGATAATTTCCTTCTCAAAATAATTTCACTGCGCCTTAAGCGATTAAGAACATAATAAGATTTTAAGGATGAAAATTCAACCAATAAGACTGATAAATACCCCATCAAAAAAATCTAAGACTTACATGCTATATACTCAGCAATCTCCGTACGTGCCTTCATCGCCATTTCCGTCTTCTTCTTGCCCATTAATTTCAAACGGTTAATTGCAAGTCGAAAATTTGTCTTCAACTTTGGATATTGGGCTCCCCAACTTATCGACATTTTGCTGGAATGATTGAATAACATAAGAGAATCAGGGAAAGATACAAGTAAAATGTACGAGCAACGAAAATAGTAAAACAAAAGCGAATTCTGCGAGTGGCGAAAACTAAGAATACTACTGTGAGACTAGCAGAAAGGAAGCATCGCAATGGAAATTACAAATGATTGTTGAAACAAAGCTCATCCACATGACTCACAGGGGAAAATTCGCTCCGATAAGGCATCCTCCGTCCTTTATTTAACACGTCTGCGTCATCTCAAACATCTGCGTTATTTTCATTGCCCCGCCCTCCGCGCGTTACACTTCTTGTTGGAGCGCGATGACTCATCTGTTGATGGCCGGTAAAAATTGCACTAGCACGGTTTGACGTCATTCTAAGCTTACATTGAACGTTACGAAATTATTGCTTCGTTTAAACGTAAGAGGTATTCATCGCCCCGTTCACCCAAACCATCTTGGTCGGAAGCAGCCGTCCGACCAAGATAGTTCGGGTGGAAGGACAGTAGACGATGATAGTAGTCAAAGAGCAGTCTGTCAGTGAGACGCCGACAGCGTCCGCAGTGACGACCTTGTCTGTGCGTGCAGTGAATCGCCTATACACATCCATAAGTTCAAAGTGTAATATTGCTTAGAAGGTAGTGAGTCTGATGTCGAGCAAAAGCGGTCTTTGTTGAGGTATGTTGAGTATTGCGAATGACACTGCACTTCTTTACATTTTGGAGTTACGCCTTCAAAGCCCAGAAGTCTATCTGCGTTCGTCGGTCGCCACTCTTGAACGCAATGCGGTGCCATTCTTCTTGATGCAGTATGTGTTCGCCAAGACCAGGTCACGAGCTGAGGCGAATTCCAGGATGCGCTCACCTTCTTCATCACATGCTTCCCGTGCCACCGTGACATCTTCCGGCTTCTCCTCGCCTTTCTTCCATATATCCGTTGGGGTCTCCTCCTAGCAGAAGTGTCTCCAATGGAATTGAACTCACGTGGTCATCAAGCTCCTGCTAAAACGGGTCCTTTTCATAATGCTTGTATCCGGGTTGTGGTGCACAGGCCATGATTACCCGTAGGAATCTGTTCCTCAGTATCTATCTTTATGCTCAACAAATGGTCTCTTAGGCATTCAACGTCAACTATGAGGCTCCCTAGAGTTCCCGGGACAGCTACAGTAAGTTTCGACCCGGAAACTGCGGAAACTGGATTGGCGGGAGTCCGCCTCGCAACAGCTCGCGCCGTTTACAGTATATCCTATCGTGCTAAGAACCCATGTCTGCGTTTCTTCAATCCCAGTTTGCTTGGCAAAATGCCAGCGCTATGCGCTCGCAAAGCCTCCAGCGATGCGCATGCGCTGTTCCACGTAGAATGTCCTCCTAATGAGGGATGAAACCGACTGTATACCAACTCCTTTCCTGGTGCAAGTGGCACCACTGTAGAAGGGCTTATATCCATCTCCAATGTCGCGTGACTTTGACCCGCTCCCGTTACCTGTATGCAGGCTACATCGACTCGCCGTCTCTTGAGAAAAAAAAATCTGCCAACTCTCGAGAAGAAAGCTGAGTGTACCCATATTGATGGTAGCCAGACATAGAGTGCGATGCCTTAGATTGTTCCCCCTGGTGAACTAACCACTATGCTTCCCCGTTCACCTTGCTGAAACGGTTCCCCGGCCACTACCCGCATTCGTCGAGCTCGAATGCGCGTCGCTTTCGGACGCCATAGCCTTTAATCGAACTTCTTTATGAGACATGTCTGAACTTGATGCGACGGGATGTTTCTCAGCCGGCTTGTCGCATGCCCTTCTTTGAAAACGTAACCTGAGGCTGGAATAGTGAGCAGAATTCTTTTGCCACAGAAATTAGGCTCAGGGTAGAATTGAATTCGTGACCTTTAGCACAGGTAATGTTACGTAGGGCATTAAACACAAAACTAATTGCGCACAAATCAGGACTCTCTGATACGTATCTGTAAACAATACACAGCGGAGACAAAAAGAAGTGAATATAGAATACCTCAAGGTTTATCATAACTGAGAGATGTTTACGCTTTCTGATCACTATCATAAATAGAAAAGAGACGGTTCAAAAAGTTACATACAGATAAGGATTATACAGCAATAAATAAATCTCTTTGAAATTAGAAAAGGACCACTGATAACAAAAAAGAAGTGACATAAAATAAACATGCGAGAATCTCTCAGAAATCATCATAAACTGCGAAATTAACGGCTGGCAAGAGCTGCGGTTATGCCTCCCATGATGTTGACCCTTCGACCATCGTACTTTTTTGAGATTTCCTCTTCAAGCTGAAAAGGGAAATGATTGATTGTAAAATGCTCTAAGCAAATTTTCCTTTAAAAGATTATGAAAGAGTGCATTAGATTCGTCCTTTTTAGGTCTTCACCTGTTTCTGGAGCTGTTTCGTGGAAGCGATAACAGTCTGCAATTCTTGACCAGCCTTAGCAGTCTGCTCTTGTGCCTCCTTTTGTTTCTCAACCATCAAGGCAGCCATTCTTCAGTAATAATGGATAATTTGCAACATTTGAACTACAAACGAACGAAATGCGTACTTCTTATATCGACTCTCTAGCCCTCGCTTCGCTTCAATTTCTTCGACGAGCTTTTCAACAAACCTGAAAAGGATTACTTTGTCAAGTAAGTACTACACCTTACACAAAAACATACTGCGGTGAAGATCTAATCCGGAAAAGATGAATTTTTTGCTGATCCGACAGCTGGCTAAGAATCAGGTTTATCTTACTGATCCAATCTCCAAGCTGAGCAAGTGTCACCTAAAATTAGAAAACTGACATTGTTCAACCATAATGTGAATGGGCACAAGCGCGACACTCTACGCACCTTGCCGACATCAGCTGGTCTTTTCTCAAATCCACGGATGAACATGTCCGAAGATGTCTCCCGCTCTTCATCTTCCTTGCGCATAGTTAGGAAAGCTAACAACTGAAACAAACCAATCCTTATTTGATCTATAATCACTTCACATTCAAAAATAATACTCTCTGTCTCACAAGGAAACGATACTTGGTGTCCGCGACTTTTTAAGATGAAACGTATACCATCGTATTCGTCTTGGGACGCTGATTCCGAATCTGACTTCCTTTTCTGCTAATCGTTTCTCTAGAAGAAGTTATGAAGGAATTTTGCGTCAATGGTCGCCTAAAAGAAATACGGTCGAGAATGCCTAATTTTTTAAAAGGAGCTTGATTGAGGCAATGCAAAACTTGAAAACACAAAAGGACTCGAACCTAAACCCGCATGAACTTGCGAGGCTATCGCGCTAGCCACTACACCACATTTTAGCGGCGGTTTTGGCCTTTCGACCACATCTCCTTTGGAGCGAAATCCTTTATAACTTTTTTGCGAGAATTAGCAAAAACAGAAGTCAGATTAGAATCAGCGCTCCAAGACGAGTCTAATGGTATGCATCTTATCTCAAACGGCCACGGACACCAAGTATCGTTCCCTTGTCAGTAGGACGGTGCTACTCGAGTCTAGCGCGCCGCCTCGCCTGAGCTCTGCACCTCTCGCGAGCGTGCTCTCTAATTTATTTTCCCGCGCTTAATTGGCAATTGAAAAAGGGCATTTTTCACGCTCAGGTGTGGGAAAATGATCAGAGAACACAATCCGAAAGAAATGCAAAGCCCAAGCGAGACGGTCGCGCGTGAACCGAGCCGCACGAGCCCTCATCACCCCTGATGAGGCAAAGGGTAGCGACATATACTGCACTCAAAGGTACTTAAAAAACAGAGAGGTTAGAAAAAGAAAGTTCAAAAAAAAAACGTATAAGAACCTCGCTTAGCTCATTCTTGATAATCTTCTGAGTGTCCGGATTTTCTATCACGCCCAGAGCGTCTTCACCACGAGCGACAGATTCTCCAACAGCTCCTGAGATACCATAACTTGCAACATGTAATTGGGGAAAGGTGGAAGTTACGAAAGAAAAAGTGTAAAATCAATCGTCAGCCATATCCGAGCAAGGTAGCAATCTATGAGAATTGAAATTTACTAGCACTGACCGCTGGTATCGGCCACAACGTCGATGTCGGCAACAACCGCAGAAGAGTCAACCTCTATATCGTCACCAAAATCAATGTCATCATCTCCAAAGTCAATTTCATCACCATCTGACTTCTTCTACGACAGAACTCTTCTCAAAAAGATAAAGCGCTAGAACATCTTACCTCATCCTCTTTCAACAATAGGTCAAAGGATGGCGTCTCGATTCTTGACGGGGCAGTTCCATACTTGAACTCAAATGCGGTGAGTGCCGCTCCTTTTTCCAATAACAACGAAAGAAGAGGAAGGACTTTTGATGGCAGTTTCTTGCCTCTGTATAAGGAAAAGTTGAACAGATCTCGAGCAAAGTAAAATATTGCTTACTGGTGGATATAATCTCGAAAATGGAGGTAATAGTCGCGTGCTTCTTTGAGATGTATAATGTCATCAGTAACTTGGGCAAAAAAAGATGGAAGATCGGCAGCTAGGGCTAGCAATTCAGCCCGAAGAGCATGACCCTATGAAACCATGAGTCAGAAGGACAAGTTGGTGCAAATTTTACAAACCTGGATCCCTATACGACTCAACTCTTTCTCGTACAGCTTTCGCCCATCGTCTGCTTGCTTCAAATAGTCTTTTTCCTTCTTTACACTGTCCTAAACTTGAGAAGAAAAAAACGAATCATACAAAGATATACGTACTTTCCACGAGTAGGAAAGCTAACAATACACACAAACGCACCGTGAGTGCTTGCTCTGCTTTGGTTATTTGTTTTTTCAAGCCAGGAATCTCATACTGGACAAGCCGTTGCAGTATCTGTAATAAACTGAGCGCTGGAAACCGAAGTCTGGAAGCAAAGTACCAACTTTGATAAAACAACACTAACCTGAGCAGACTCGGCCAGATATACATTATTTTTCTTGTATAAAGAGTCTATTTCCTAAAAAAATTACTGATGAAATTTGCTACATATCCGGAGGAATCTTCTAAGTACCCTTTCCAAGGTAAATCAAAAAAATTGAAAAAAGAAGGACAAGCTTCATCCGAAATGTTAATGAAAGCGTCTAAAGAACAATGGATTGCTTACTTGCCAATCCTTCATCCGCTGTGACGAATAAAAACCCAAGAAATTTTTTGTATCCTTTTCAGTCTCGCGCAAAATTTCAATTATACGTTGGCAGTGAAAATAATTGATATCTGCAAAGATAAACGCTTTCAAAAGTCACAATATCCAAGTGACAACAATTAAAAAAGTTAAAAGAGCACTCACAACTTCCTTGTAGAAGCTTCACCACTTCATCCGACTCTGGCATGTCCAGAATAGCATGCTTAATCTTCTCTCGAATAACCAGTACATTCTTCTGCCAATCTCTCTGACAATGCCGTCGACTAACCAGCCAGTCTAAAAATGAACAGCGCACTTTTTGCAACAAATGGCTACAAACTAACCCAAGAGCTTTCCACTGTGGATGTCTATGGGCAAATCTTGAACATTAGACATTCTACCGAGGGAAAACCCTACAGACTCATAAAATGTGCGGAATCAAGGCAAGAGACAAACTGCACACGTGTCCACAAACAAGTGGGAGCATGTGTTTTCATGCTCCATTTGCAAATTTTGGACCAATTATTGAAATGCGAGCAAAATTTGAGCATAGAGCGCGTTATTTGCAGTAGATAAAATAATTTTTATGAATCCATAGCATGTGTTTTTGTTTCTGTACTTACGTTTATCCTTCCTTTACAGTACATCGGATGATAAAATACAGTATACTCGCAGGCTTTGTATCTCTAGGTGATTGGAAGGTCTTTCAATATGTGTCATGGTTTCGATGTTGAGGACGTCATGCAGGAGGCAGCAAAGGCTTACCGCATTTGCCTCTGGAAGCGCTTGGGGAGCTCCAGATTCCTCGCGCCTCTAATCATTTTTCACACCTCTGATACTTTACAAGTTGAAGAATTGAACGAAAATCTTTTTGGAGGTATCTCACCCCGGATCAATTTGAGATTCTCGCAATTTCTTTCAATCTCAGCTATAATCGATTTCAACTTATTTGGATATTGGGTTCAGGAAATTTTACTCCAAAATTCGCAACAGAAGGAACAGATTCTGATGCAGAATAAAGGACGATTGCATTAATTCTTCAAGGTTTCTGTCTTCGATCGGAATAACTGAGAAAGATTTACATGTTTATGCTTGAGATTCTGGTCTGAAGATTGAATAGACCATTTCATATTTTAGAATCATTTGACGTTGAATGGCTATTTATGAGTCCTTTTTGAACTTGTTATCTATCTTACTGCTACGAATTTAAAACATAAAAGCTATCTCAAAACTTGCCACGTTTTGAGAAATCAACGATCAAATTGGAATAGGTCATCTATAATTAGAAGTGCGAAAAAGTAATTAGAGGCGCGAGGAAGTCTGAAGTTCCTCAGGTACTTCCATAAGCAGAAGCGGCGAGCCTTTGCTGCCTCCTGCCCGACCGCCCGATGTTGATATCTGTGGCATGTCTCATTTATCATCCCGTGTGCAGATATGAAGCCATTGTCTTTTTAGATGTCACAAGAAAATTCTAATATGTCAGCTCCATCACGATTAGATGGCGAGCACTCAGAAAATGCAGGTACTACCATTTTCTATTCTTTTGGTGTCAGTTGCACAGATAGATCTATGCTTTACTAGCCAAGATTGCATGGATATAGTGAAATCACGAAATAAAACGAATTGTGTTGAAGCACACGTAATCAAGACCGAGCTTATTGGAATGCGAGTTTGCACTCTCATATACAAAGCATCACAAGAATTTTTAAAAATCAACCAGGACCATGTTCCAGGCTTTATTGACTGGTATGATTCTCCAAGAGTTCTCCCTACACAATCTAAGCGATTGCGACGCGGAACGCAGTTATTAAAAACAAGGAGTGCAGAGGAGTTTTCACCTAGGTCCTATCTCGATGGTTAGTGATTTTTTTAAATTTCTGTTTCAAACGCTTTTGATTGGCTATTTGATGGGTTGCTCGTCATAGTTTGCTAGAATGTTATCGAGCACTTTTACAGAAACTGCTTCTACATCTGATCTCGACAGTTTCTGGTGCATTGAGTCACCATCAGAGCATATCACTCCGCTAGCTCACACTGAGACATCCGCGTTAGATATTTTCGAGAAAACACACTCAACTTCTGATCAGGTACTCATTGTTTAACACCTTTTTTATATATTGTCAGGATTAAGAAATAGTACCTTTTCTAGACTACCCCTCATCGGACACTACGATCAGCAAAACTACTTTCCCGTAAACGACACAGAAAACCAGATAACCAACTGAAAATCGAAGAAAGCGAAAATGTAGATGAAAAGCGGATGTCAATGGAAGAAGGTCTCGCTGTTGGAATGGCATCACTTGGTATAGCCAAACGATTCACAACAGTATGATCTTCGTGCAATTTCCTCTTCTTAGCTAAATTGCGGCAACGTCTACGCAGCGAAGGTGACACCGATAAGCTGAAGACGGACGCAGATGTGAAGGTAGTTTTTCTTTGTTCCATCGACGTATGTGAAATGTCACTGTTAGAAAAGAGCAGTTGTTTCTTGTAGGTTTTGCAAAGAACTCCACTTCGGCCAAAATCGTCTCCAGCGAGCTCACCAATTGTTCCACGCAACGCATTGAAGAGAAAAAGGTAAAGTTTACCCTTATAGGTTTAGCATTCGTGACTGTGTTCCTACAAACTGCATTCAGCGACACCTTATTGACCCCTTCTTTGACTCGGCCGTCGCAAAGGTTTGTCACGAGCACGCCAAAGCATGATGGAGTAGCAGCGTGAGTGAATCGTATATTTTTTGGAAATTTGGGCTTTTTTCTCACTGTTGCTTTCCTTCACGTATTCTGTTGCATTGTTGCAAAATGAGCAAGCATAGTCTTGCTGTTATTCATCAGAAGCAAATCCACCCACTGTGAACTGCAAAGATTAGTATTTTTGGCGCTATTCCAGTATCCGGGCCCCAAAATTTTTTTGTCGTGAATTCTGTCGAAACTTGGCCCAGGGGGGTTATTCGGCCCGCGGATGTTGAATATCATATTGGTTTTGTACGGTAGCGTCATTTTCTCGGGCTACGGTGGGTATACGGTAGGGGGTCAAAATCACGGAATTCGCTGAAACTTGGCCCAGGGGGGTTATCTGACATGCTGATCACGAATATCATATTTTCCCCGCAAGAAATCGCCTCCCTGTAAGGTTACGGTGGGTACACGGTAGGGGGCCAAAATCATGGATTTTGCTGAAACTTGGCCAAGGGGGGTTATTCGGCCAGCTGATGCCAAATATCACATTGGTTTTGAACCATAGCGTCATTTTCTCGAGGTACGGTAGCTGCACTTAACGGGTGTAAAAAATAGTTTTGCCTGAAGCGGGTGTATGGCGATTCGGACAGTCGTGAAGCTTTGCACACACGACCACCGCCGCGCGCTATACACCCTGCTGCGGCTTTTGCCTAAGCAAAGCACAGGAGAAAGATACATTTGTCGATTTGTGATTTTGACCCCTACCGTAAACCTACCGTAACCATACAGGGAGACGTTTTCGTGCAGAGAAAGTGTGACGTTTCTAATCAGCATGTCGAATAAACCCTCTGCGCGAAGTTACAGCGGATTTTGAGATTTTGACCCCCTACCGTATACCCACCGTAACCCGAGAAAATGACGCTACCGTACAAAACCAATATGATATTCGGCATCAGCGGGCCGAATAACCCCCCTGGGCCAAGTTTCAGCGAATTCCGTGATTTTGACCCCCTACCGTATACCCACCGTAACCCGGGAAAATGACGCTACCGTACAAAACCAATATGATATTCGGCATCAGCGGGTCGAATAACCCCCCTGGGCCAAGTTTCGACAGAATCCACGACAAAAAAATTTTGGGGCTCGGATACTGGAATAGCGCCGTATTTTTTATAGTACACCTCTGAAGCGATTCCGAACGATGAATGACACTCCTTGTAAGCCAGGTATGCACGCTGCAAATGATTTCGAAATTTTCAGACCTTGTACACAATTAGTTGGTTTCCCGCTCGATGTAGTGTGCCTGCATAGCCAAGGCCGGGCTAGCAAATTGCATGTGAACAAATAGCCACGCCAGTAATGCTGGCATTGCGCGCGCAATTGGCCGGCAGTACAGGCGTAGCTATTTGTGCACGCGAGATTTGGTTGCCCGACCTCGGCACCGCAAGCACATACTAGCGGAAAATCTATCAGACTATACCTTATGTTTGTTCGTTTAGATTCAACAAGAGAAAAGATATTGCGCACACAAAGTATGAATGACACCAAAGAGGATAGCGACGACGATTCGTTTCTGACCGATGTGTTTGTACCCTTCAAGCATCCGAGTCAATTTTTTGAGATGCTCAAACATAATCCAACTCAGAAGAGCTAGGTTTCAATCTCCTTCTAGGTTCAGAGCATGACCAGACCATTTGGCCAGAGTATTTTGTTATTTTCCGCTTTAAAACAACAGTTTTATCTCGAATTCAACTTGTCATTAGAGTTTGCATATGTTATTACACCGCCGCAGAGGATGCCCAAGCTCGATGGCCATTTTTCGCCATTTTTCTGCGTACTCTTTTTTTGTAGGTAATAAAAGTTGGCTGGCGGGTCGCCGCTGCTTGTGCGTTTTCAGCATGGTGACTCAGATTGTGAAGCATTTGTATCTATCTTCTATTAACAAAATAATGACCACTTGCATGTCATCTCAATTTCTGCTGAAGTCATGATCGATCCCTGTAACTTGAATTTTCTTCTTGTTGTTGCTATGATTATGTTCTAAACACTTGCACTTGTTTTGTTTAAAAATAACGTAAACGATTACGGCACGCGATGTTTCTTGAGATGTTCAGCTAGAACATTGACCCGCATTTTTACGTGTACGGAGTATTAATTATGCATAATTTGTTCAAATCTGAGCAACTTTATGATAAAGATGAATACAATGAATACAGACTTCGGAAAAAATATCATAAGTTACAAAGCAATGCGATTTGGAGGTGTGATGCTCATCGATGTAATCAAGGAACAATCGTCACTATTTATTGGAATGGCTGTTCTTGTCTTGAAACAATGTAGAGACGTGCAAAATAGGAAAGGATTTAGCCGCCAAATCGTTTTCAAAGAGATTTAATACATTTTGAAGAGCCAACAGAAAGGCCAGCTGTACCGTGTTGTGGTCCAAGACGGTACTTAATTATCTCTTCTGATCGGTGATCAGGCTTTGATAGGTACTGCCCCAAAAGTTGGTTTTAGCTGGCTTCTTGTAAAAAAAGCCTACGCGAAGGGTTGGAAACGTCATCACTCCGATTTTGGCTGGGCTTTAGGCCGTACTTTCAGAACAGTGCAGTCTGCCCGGAAGTGCAGTTATTGAACTTTGCAGTCCGTACAAGAGTAAAACAAGGGTAAAAACCGTAGCAAGCGCTGGAAGGGTAAGATCATTAACCAAGTGAAAGTTCCCCAGTGTCTTGGATGTAAGGCTGGTCATACAGATCCCCAAGTTCCGGAACAGTTCCAGCACAGCGCTCGAACTGTGCGTTGTGCTGAAACTGCTCCGGAACATATGGACTAATATGAACCCAGCCTAAAGTCTAGAAATGTAAAACGATATCAGTAAGAACATGATTGCTATAATGAGTTTCGAATTCGCCAAACAACATTAGCAATTTCAGATGAGAACACCCTGGAATGGTCGTTCACTATGGTGACGTCATGGTCATACCCATCTAGGGCACACTCCGATGGCATATCATCAATCCCCGTTACGAACACGAATCCGCGCTTTTCTCGTTCCTTCAAATGTGCTTCGACACGAACTGTCAATGTACGGTAGTGGCTTTGGAAGTAATCTATATCCGTAGGTCTTCTACAGTCAGAAATAATCACGATGTCATCTTCACAACTGGATGGGATTGTGGCCCTGTATGGGAAATCTTTAGGGAGTAAAATATCTTGGGTAAGAGTTAACCTGCAAAAGAAGCTTGGATCATTGTCTCGTACATTTTCACCCCAATTAATCATTTCTAATCGGTGACTTTCTTTGTAAGGACCATCAGATATGAGTTGTGAATAATCCAGCCCTAAATGTACTTGACTGAAACTTCCTAGAAACCTCTGAAACCCTAACTCACCATGAGTTTCAGCGTAAATAGCCTTCAAACTATGCGAAACACCATGTATGGACACTTTCAAAGGCTCAAGAGCCGCTTTGAGCTTCTCGCAACAGTAATCCTTGCCCGATTTGCGTTTACCAGACACAAGCACAACCAATTTTACCATAAACACGGTGCGTAAGCTGATAATTATAAAAACTTGGCCAGCTTGAAGGGATGGAAAGATAAACCAGAAAATCTTTTTCAGTGTAAACTGGTACTGAAACAACCAAAACATATCCATCTTTCAACGTCTTTACAATTCATTCGATTATAATACAATTTCAAAGAACGATTAAAACGATCTTCGATGATCACAGCACGAAAAATCTAATCAAAAACAATTGGTGAATAATCCACATCGAATACTTTAGAGACGAGATAAAAAATTTCTTCAGGTATAGCAGCGGCATCTACGCTCCGACAATGATGTTATTGATTGGGATATGGATGAGCTTGACGAAGAATCCGATGAAACCCATGATAGCAAAGCCGATTGCAGTTGCAACTGCGATCTTCTGATATTCTAAAAAGCGCTTACCGTTAGTTACATAAGAATAAGAACGAAGTTCCTCCAGATCAATAACTACAACAAGAGTCTGCCTGAGAATTTATTTGAAGAGATGAATATAGTTTGCAGCCTAAATGATTGGTACCTGCAGGTTTTGATACTTTGTATCCGAAAAGGATCTTATCTAGAAAACCTGATATACTAGTTTTCAGCCGAGTGAAAAACATATTACGTTTTTCGAAAAAAAGAGCATTATAACAAGATTTAGGAAGAAACATTGTGAGGTTGAATCAAGGTTGCCTTTTGCAAGCTATCTTTTCTAAGAAGTAACAAAGGAATAAACTACGTTTCCACCACCAAAAATTTTTGTACTATATAAGACTACTAGATGTATGAACTTGCTGAAACTCTTATGATAAATTCCAAGCTGAGAATGATTTTTGAAAGCTTGACGTAATCTATACTAAAGGTATGAATTCTTAGTAAACTGACTTCCTCTGGCGAATTTGGCCTTTAAGGGAACGGCCATAGGTTGTCGGTGTTGTCGGTGTTGTCGGGGTTGCCGAGGTTGCCGGTCGTTGTAGGACCCCATGATAGACTCCACGTTTCGCGCGCTCTCTAAACTGTCTCTGACCCCGACAACACCGACAACACCGACAACCTATGGCCGTTCCCTAAGAAAGATCATCAAAGATAAAGAAATGGAACTCCTTAAATGCAAAAATCCAACAAAACAAAATTGAAAGTTCAATTACACACCTTTCCTGTCGGGCTTCGTACACCTCTTCACCAATCGGATAGAATCTTTGGCAAACTGACGGCCAGGTTCGATGAGGGCTTGGAACTGATCCATCGCAAATTTCTAGAAAAATGAAAACTTAAACTACAACGATGCAGGCGAGAGCGAACGCTACGAATGTCGAGAAAAGAGGGCAATAGACGAGATAAAATCGAAATAAGAAAACAATCTGCTAGAAGGACTGAATGCAAATGAGATGGTTGTCTAAAGTAGCATTTTTAATTCGGAGAACGTCAAGAAGCAGCCGCAGGATCGATTTCTCAAGAAATGCTTTCCAGAATATAGCTTCCTTGCGTTTCGCTGAAGCACAAAAATTTATCAACACTACGCAAAAGCACGAAGCCTACAATTCTGACATTACAGATACATAAGTAGTGAAATGAGTGAAACAAGAACAATTCCGCGGAACAGCACTAAATATTGCTTGCAATTCTAACAAGTAACTCCACAAAACGAAGCAGCGCTGAGAACCGGATAATTCTATGATCACTTCTTATCTAGAAATCGATTCTTCAATGAATCTTAGTCGAAAAGAACAAAAAAGAGTGACAAATGGGCTTATTTCAACCTACACCACAACTTGCGAAGCCTCTTTTCTAGTGATAAGAATAAACAGATAAATAGATTGACAAATGCTACGTATTTTCAAAGTCTTCTCATAAATGATTTATAGACAAATCGAGGTACAAGAGTTCGATGGGGAATCTAGCTCAAGCTTATACAAAAATGAGGAACCAAAAACAGGAAGAAAACAACTTCCTAGACGTAAGTAATATTTGAGGTAGAACTCATAAACGTTTGAAACCCCAACTTGACTGAAAGGATATTTTAGATAAGTAATGATAAACTAGTAAAGAACAGAAGTGTGAACACGCAGCGTAGATTTTGTCAGATAGAGCAATTTGAAAACTGTCCAAAATTGGAAATGAAACAATGAAACACTTGTTCAGAAAAGTGAGAGATCTCACGCGGCTGTCAAGAAACAATAAAAGCCATAAATGCTGGCGAAAATGTCACCAAAGCAAAACACGCAATGAAAAATCCACGAGGGGCGCCGAGCCGGGCGACGACTAAAATGCGCCTCGTGCAATCGTGTTGCCGCGACGCGAAACAGCACGCGATCTGTAGAGACGCAGTCTGCTACAGTAGTCAAACTGCAGCTAGCCGCAGCGCGTAGTTCAAATGTGGAGTTTTGTGCAGGAAACCTGTCCTCGGGGCCCGGCGCAAAACTCGCTTCTACGAGAAGCGCGCACAGCATGTGCCAGGGGGCGCGGCGACGATTTACGACGATTAGTCGTCGCTCCTACTCTCTGCACGGCTATTCACATGTGCTAGAAAAGTTGTCTGTAAATTACACAAGGAATAGCCGTCTACTGAGAAATCTCGACTAAATTGGGATCCATAACTGATAGCAAGATTTGGCGGGAGAATCCTGACAGGAAGCTTGGCTACATAATTCCATGATCCGGATATGTGCCGTCGTTTTGGCGGCGTTGACTGCAACGCGAGCGGAGCTGCCCACAGATTTGGATGCGTTTTTAGAAGCACTTTTTGACGTCAAAGAATGTGAGTTTTGTCGTAATTGAGTTGAAATTTCTTTTCTTCTTGATTTTATTCACATTTCCTCATGCTTTTTTCACCTTCACCTTTCTTGGCCTGGATAAAGCTTTGTTTCTTCTACCAAAATTCTTAATTTTCTTTTCAAAAGTTCGCCACGTATTTTGGATCCGAAGTTCATCTTCCATCCCACCGTGCATGCTTTTTCCCATTTGATCCTCTCGACAGCAAGTTCGGAAGTCTGTTCTCGTTCTCGTTAGCTCTCTTGCGATCTGTTATCGCAAAGCCATCTGTCGATAAATCACTGGTTGCTGGCACTGGAATAATTTAGCTTTTTACACTATATAGTGGTGCACTCAGTCTCCGTACTACCAGTCTTTTTCTCACGGAGTAGCCATTAGCTCGCCGCAGCCATCTGCTTTTTAGAGTTGCAATTATCTAGATCTGCTAAGTTCAACTTCGGCCATGTGTTCGTATCTTCGGAACGTTTAATTAGTACTTTTAACGAGTTAAGGCTGTTTGGAATCAATTTCAATCGTCATTAATTTTTCTTCATAGAACACGTTCTTAATTCGTACAACATCATCCATCTATTGTGCAAGTCGAACTTCTATTCGGAAAATATAGCATTTATATTTTCAAGGCTTAAAGCTTCAATTTTGTGAGTTTCCTGCTTCTGAACAATTCCCTCTCGCGACTCAAAGGCTTAAGATTTCTTTGTAACGAAAAGATTTCAATTATCTGCACAGCTATTTGAAACTGTGATGAGTTGTTCTTGTTTTCTCAAGTTCTTTTAATGTCAGATATTGATATCATGGATTAGTCTCTGGGTGGAAATTTTTATATGGAAAAATCAGCTGATCGGGATGTATTGTGTATCCCCCAGAATTGTCCACATATGAACCATCAATCCGGCTGCCTTTCAATCATTTAACACGTTAACTACAGCAAATTTGAGGCGCTTGTTCGAATTTGACATGTTGAAATGATCGAAAGACGACCACGTTGATGATTTTCTGGGGAATACACTGTAATTGTCTGAATCTTTGTTTTCTATGCCTAAATCTCGCTTGTCAGTTAGCAGCTCATGTGTACCACGACAGGACATCACGTGTAAAGGGACTGAATCTTTTAAGTCTACATCCTTATTTGTTGAAATATCGATGGACATAGCAAGATAAATTTTTTTCCAAAGGTTTCTGCAGTTCCTCCTCAATGTTCTTCATTTTTTATTTACAACGCACTCGACTTGTGTTCTATCAGTTTACTATTTTTAGATTTTTGAAAGGCTCAGTCTATCGCGCCCCTTTGAAATATGCAAAATCATCTCAAATGTGCTTGCATGTCCAGGGCTCGGCACAGGTGGCTTGTAAGCCAGCTGGTATCGTTTCCTGGGACGAAAAGCAAAAGGGGTTTCGTTTTTATGACCGAAAAGAGACGCAATATTGGCGACTTGGCGACGTTTTTTTTAGTCGACGTTTCGTTTTTAGGGGGATTTTGGGGAATTTTTCAGCTTTTTAGAGGAAATTTGGTTGAGGGTCAAAGGGGACTTCGTAAAATCCCAAAAGTCAAAGTGGATTTCGTTTTTTCCATTTTCATCTAGCAACCTCGTGCCGAGCCCTGTGCATGTCTCAATCATCTTTTTCTGTTTCATTCTTTTTGATAGCAGCCATTGTCTCCAGCGACTAGTCTCTCCAAAAGTCTTTGGTTCTCATTGTCAAAAACAGTGCATTGATTGAATTGCTTCCAGTGAGAACAACGTACATTTCTGCTGAACAGTGGAAATCTTTGTGATTGTCAAGTGTTATGTCTGAAGAGCTGATCTTGACACCATTCACTTCTTGCAGCCGTTTTACTCGATCTTGCTTTTGTAAAAGTTTTGCTTTCTTTTTTTCTTTTCTGTTTGCATTAGACGTGATTAAATCACTACGTAGACACTATAGAAAGCTGTCCACGCGGGGCGTAAAATCATATTTTGAACTATGTCAAACACCATCACTTTTTGTTTTATATCATCCTCAAGAAGTTTTGTAGTGAAAGCAGAAATTGCTTATGAGGGGGGAGAAATTGTAGGATTTAGAGGAGTCGTACGCACTTTGATCATTTGCATTTTTTGCCATTTGAGTGCTTTTTGATCAATTCTAAAAAGTGGACCCATCGAAAAAGGAGGTGAAGGACTTCTGACGCGCAGGACTTTAGCTATTCACTCATGCGAAAATAATTAAAAAAAGCATGAAATCATTCTAGTTTGGCTAACGCAGAAAATTAGGTCGAACTGAAAGTTCTGTCGCTTGAGAAGTCAAAAAGTCGTGACTGGTCCCTATGTGAACGTAGTTGCAATAAATTTTGCCAAAAAAAATAATCATCTGCATTGTAATAAAACTTCGAGGCTTTTTGACGACTAGAGATAAAAATTCAAACAGAACCATTTTAACTTTCAATATTCTTAGATACATCGTCAAACATCTGAAGCGCTGCAGAAAAATATGGAAACATGTTTCTTACGATCTACGCCTGTTGCTCTTTCTAAAACTGTAAAGTCTATGTTTATCAAGCTTTTCTCTACAAAGTTATGATTTTTGAGGTACAAACGGAAAAATAATTTTCTTGTCTTTCTGCATTCCAAAAATCATAACTTCAACGAAAAACCCGAGCAACACAAGCTTTGCACAAATAAAAAGCAGCTTTCGTAGATTTTAGTAAACATAATTTCATATTTTTTTGAAGCATTCCAGATTTTTGATAACTTTTAGATTATCGGTAGCTAGAGATTCTCGTGGTGGAGTTTTTATCTCTGGAGTCCATTGTCGTCAAAGAGGCGCGAAATTGTTATCAAAAAGTTAATGATTATTTTTTTCACTGAAATTTAATGTAAGCAAAAACGTTCACGTAAAGAGCAGTTATAAATTTTGGAATGTTGGGGCAACAAACTTTTGGTTCAACCTAATATGCAGAAAATAGGTCACCTGATACTAATTTTTCCCTTTACGCGGTATTTTCCTACTCGCAGGTCAGACGCGTTGCAATCGTACGAATGCGCGTCAGCCGTAGTTTCTCATTCTCTGCGTGATGTGAATCAGCCGTGCGTAATGATGTTGGCTTAGGGAAGTGTGATCGCAAATGCGCTCAATTTTTTGTTGACGAGTGAAAAAATTAAGCTTTGCTATTGTCACTGCTTACGCATAAGTGGCAGAAATTCTCTTGACATGTTTAGAGGCTGTGAAACCTAACGTAGAACGTCTAGAAGGTGCAAAAATCTTATATACAGGGTGTCCGTAAAGTATGTATACACTGTTTGATCGTTAATGTCTTTCTTCCCAACGAGTCTTTTGCCTTGCTTCAGGTACCGTTTTGTAGAGTTGGTTTCAACTTAGATTTGCAGTATGGAGCGAATCATCTATCGCTTTTCATTACTGTAAGATTATGGTACGAACTTCGACAAAGATTTTGGACCATTGGAGGCTATATTCTGCCTCGGAACAAGACCAAACAAGCCAAATACTCTTATACTACGGTAATGGGAGCCGCTGACTTCGAATTTGAAATTCACGTTTTACTGTGATGCTTCTTTCCTAAGTTATCCCTGGTAAATCGTAATAACTAAATTCCCAGCTTTTGTCAGAAATGTAATTACACCGTCAAAAAAGCCGAAAACACTTGTAAAAAGTTGTTAGGTGGAATCAGCATGCGCGAAAACCCTAGTACACGAATTTTCAGAGTTTTTGAAGAAAATTTCGTTAGGTGGTATATTTCACATTGGTTCCATATGCTGGAAGTTCGTACCGTAATCATACAGTAATGGAAAGCGATAGATGATTCGCTCCATACTGTAAATCTAAGTTGAAGCTAGCTCTACAAAACGGTACCTGAAGCAAGGCAAAAGACTTGTTGGGAAGAAAGATATTAACGATCAAACAGTGTATACATACTTTACGGACACTCTGTATAAAGCTGAATGTCTGTCTGTCTGTCTGTCTGTACGTATGTGCGGAATAGAAATTTTTATTTCTGAACCGATTTGGACCAAACTTGGCACACATATACCTCGGGGCAGGGAGCGTGTCATAGGCTACTTTTCGTTCGGAATCCCCATGCTCACTTACCCCCCCTGTGCCAACTTTCAGCCCCGTAGCTCAAATTTTGCAAAAAATCGATAAAATCGATATCGATCGATGACGAAAAGTAGCCTATGACACCCGCCGGGGCCCGTAGTGTATGTGTGCCAAGTTTGGTCCGGATCGGTTCAGAAATGGAATTTTCTATTCGGAACATACGTACAGACAGATAGACATACAGACAGACAGACAAACAGACATTCAGCTTTATATATAAGACAAATATATTATTGACAGGCCCGGGCGGAGCCGGATTTGACAACTAGTTCTAAATGAAGTTGAGCCAGTGCTCGGCACAAGATGGCTTTCTGAAAATGCAAAAACAAAGTTCTCTCCCCCTCCTGACTTTAGCAAAATCTTACGAAGTCTCCTTCAACCGTGAACCCTAAACGTAAAAAAAACCCTCAAAAACGAAACGTCGATTAAAGGAATAAAAAATGAACGTTGCAATTAGTGTCTTTTCGGCCTCAAAAACGATATTTTTTGCTTTTTGTCCCAAAAAGGGAGTCCAGCTTGCTTACAAGCCACTGTGCCGAGCCCTGAGCTGAGCCGTCAGATAATCTTTCCAAAGCAGCACTTCCGAAGTTTTCGTATGAACTAACTACTTTCGAGAGATAAGTTTTGCATCACTGTCATCAAACTGCTCATTATTGGTCTTATTCAGTAAGAAGTTGATGTCCTCCTTACAGTTTTCGCTGAATGCTGTCTGTAACCGGACTCTTGTGGAACGGTTGCCATACTGAATGTAGTGAACGACGAGCGAGTTATGAGTCACATATATCCTTTTTGCGCAAAATGACTCAGCGTGGACGAGCTTTTCGGTTGGGGATAATAGCTCGTTGAAAACCTCCACGAATTCCAGTTGGATTGGTGACGTCGATCGTTTTGACGCAATGATCACTGCTTAAGTGTGGTGAAGACGCTGGGCATAAGCATCTCTTGAATGTTTTGAGAGACTTTGGGCTTTGTTGTATGCAGGGACAGCAGAAGATCGATGTGATCACAACATTATGCGTAGAACACTCGGAATTCATCATTTACATTGTAGAGGAGGAAAATGATGGCTTGAATATATTGCGAACTAACTTTGTTCTTATACGGAGGAGTTGATTATTGTTTTCATTGTGAATGGAATGTTATGCAGTAATTTGCGGGCGGTTTTTCCTTATTTATAGGATAAGGAAGAAAAGAAAAGCGGGGGAGAAGAGGAAGAGGGTGGGGGGGGGTTGAACTTGGCAGAATAGTAATTTCTTATAGCGTTTTATCATCCGTGAAGAAGTAAATTCTCCCAGTGTCCTAGAACTTAAGGGCCGCGCATACTTCACGCGATTTCAGTCGCGACGCGATTTGGCAATTCGCCAGAAGTCTTCGGATCCGACACTAGCAGACTGCACATGCATAGTGTGCATAACTTACGCAAATTGATGAAATACCCTATCTTCTGTACATTTATTAGGTCGTACCGAAAGTTCTTGCGTACGATTTTAAAAATTTATAACCTGTTGACTTTTTTAACGAATTTGTACGATCAAAATTTTGCGTAAGAGAGGAACTCATGCTCTTTGCAACATTGAACTGTTGGAAAGAGCTGGTGAAAGAACCTACAATACCGACTGCTCCGATTTTTGGGGCACTTTTCCGATTTTTTATGACCCTACACGAAAAATTCAAATTTCGAGTGATTTTGTTTTTGAGCTTCTATCTCCTTAATTTGTAAACATAAACGAACAATTTAGGTACAGGTGCAAAGAGCATGAGATCCCCTCTTAAGCAAAATCTTGATCGTACAAATTCGTTGAGAAATCAACGAGTTATGAATTAATGAAAATCGTGCGCAAGAACTTTCGGTACGACCTAATACAATGTACTTGCAATGAGTTATGGACACTTGGAATATTGCCGCGTCGCGACTGAAATCTCGTGAAGTATGCCCGATCCTTTAGTGGGTAGGATTTCTATAGAAAAAATAATGGATCTAAATTTTTTCTCTGTTAGCTGATAGCTGATTTGTAACCAGCACAGCAAACGCCAGTAAGAAGCGTATGTACCATTCATTCGCTTACATTATTCGATATTTTTGAAGCATTGAAATATAATAAATAACTGAAATATGGGTAGCGAAGATCACCTCATTTTTGTTGGTAGTTCTTTCTTCTCAAATTGACAGCTATGAATTTTGATGCTCTAATTTCTGCGGTGGTGTTACGAATCTCTTTGAACCGAAACACTTCTTTTATCTTGCTATTTTAATTTTCAGAGAAATGTTCAATTGATTTATTCCGACCAAAAGTTTGAACAAGTAAGTATTTGGGTGGTATAAGATGTGCTTTACATATCCACTTTGAAAAAACCAGAAACCTAACCTCAAGTTGTAGGTGGAGGGTTGAAGCACTTGTTTTCGCAAAATTTCCTCGTTCTACTGGATTTCTTATCAGAAGACACTTTATTCCTTCACGGCTTATTTTTTCTGTTGATGTAAAGTCCACACTAAATGCCATTCATCAAGCATGCTTTCCTTGCCTAGGTCAGAGATTTACATAATCATTCAAGCAAGGTGTAAACTTTAAAATCTCTTCGTAACGTCACACTAAGAACTGGTTAGCGCATGCGTTTTGCATTTTATTGTTTATGTGTGTGACGTCGTCAAAACGTCGGTGTCAAAGTTTTACGACCACAAACCCGTCTTTTGCGTTCGTTGTAAGGTCGATTGTTTTCGAGAAGGGAATTCTGCATGACAAGAACACTGCTAAACATAAACAAATCAGTGATAGTAGGGAGAAGGGGGTCTAGTATACAGTTAATCCACGAAAGTCCTTCAAAATGATTTGGAATTGGTAAAACTGTTTTTAAGAAACCGACATCCATTGAACATCAGCATACTTCATGTCCACATTCAGGACTGCGGTCTTGCTCGTGAATTTTGGCATTTCTTTACTAGCATTACTTTGTCATGTTTTTTATAGTATTCTGATGTAAGAGAGAGTTCAAAGATTTGATCATTGGATCCAAACTTGACTCCACTTTTTGTGCGGATTTAAATTATTGCTTAAGATCCGGTGAGGAACGTAAAATTAGTGAACGTCTCAGAAATAATGCTATAGCTTTGTAAAACTCACACTTTTGTTCCATCACCAGGTTGCGCTGACACAGCCCAACCAAAATAAAATATAGTAATATCTGAATCTGTCATTTGAAAGACTGGCAGCTCACTCTGTCTGTATATAGCCCAACCAAAATAAAATATAGTAATATCTGAATCTGTCATTTGAAAGACTGGCAGCTCACTCTGTCTGTATGAATCAGAGAATCACTTTCGCGCACTGAGAGCAAATTTGCTTTTTTTTCTACCTTGTAATTTCTTTAAACGAAGACAGTTATCAAGATATTTTTCTAAACTGATTCTCATAGAGATTCGATTCCCGACTGTGAATTCAGCAGTTATTTTGCTTTAGCGTAATGATATCGTCTGGGAGATTGTATATGGATTGATGACATGACAAGTCGGTTTGAGTGTTTGAATCACTGGTCTTCAAGAGGCCCTGAACTGGATCAGAAAAACAAATTTTTCTCTATTTTCTACCAGTTTTTACCATTAAAATTGAATTTGTACTACTCCAAACTCCAGAACCATAGGTATCTACAGGGACTAAATTTATTGTACAAAGTTCATAAAATCCGGGCGCAGATGCGGCTAGAAATTAATTTTCCGTCATTTAGGCCCGTATGCACGTTCATCCCCGCGGGAGGGGAGGGGATCTGAGAGGGGAAGCGTCATAATTTGCTACTCTTATCTTTTGTCTTCCTTCATTATCTGTGATATGAAGGTTCTCATACTCTAATACCTGCGCATAATGGATGTCAGGTTATTGTCATACAAGATTAGATTTTCACAACTTTGTGTGATCCCCTGAGGATCACCAGGGGATCACCTCTCATTTTCAAAGTCATTTATCTTCCTATAAATTCAATAAAAATGTTCTAAATTTGTGCTGAAGGTATAATATGGTACTGCAAAACATGTCTATAGTAGAAATAAGGGAAATCTCAGGATATCGAAATTTTCGACGAACCGCTGCTCGCGAGCCAGGGATTATCGAAAAATTGATAATCCCCAGATTCCATTTCTTCTGTCAAAAACATGCTTAGCAGTACCGTAGTATATTCTCAGTGCAACTTTACAGCATTTTCATGGAGTTTTCAGAAAGATAAATGACTTTGAAAATGAGAGGTGATCCCTTAGGAATCCCCACGGGATCAGACAAAGTTGTGAAAATCTAGTCTTGTATGGCAGTAACCTGGCATCTGTTATGCGTAGGTATCAGGGTTTGAGAACCTTCATATCACAGATAAAGAAGGAAGAAGAAAGATATACAGAGTAGCGAAATATGACGCTTCCCCTCTCAGATCCCCTCCCCTCCCCGCGGGGATGTACGTGCATACGGGCCTTAGTCAAAAGACATCCAAGCTCAACATAGCGTTAGAACTGTTCTTAAGAAAGTGCTCATATAAAGCAATAGAAATTCATTTCATCAAATGCATACTTTGATAAAATCACAAATCTCTAGTGCCATAATAACGCTTAGCTTTCTTATTTCCTGTCATTCTCTCAAAACTTATTTATGAGTGGAAGTGTTATTTATAATGTTTTAGGCGAATCAATCCTCTCCGGCGACTACACCACCGTAGGAACTATAGAGTGTAAGCCGTACAAATGTGACTTCCCACGGCAAGTATGTATGCGACCGAATGCAAAGTACCAAGAAGAAAGCGCAAATGAATGCCGTGCTGTTTCTATGGAGGTAAAGATTTTATGAAATTTATTTTTGTTATTTTTTTGTTTGCTTTTAGCCATGATTTTCAGTGAGTAGAAGTTTGACGCATTGGTTTGTACTATAATTTTTGTTTTTAGTGCCTCGTCGCTGCAAACGGTGGTGAACCAATCGGACCGCCAAAGCAGGTGATTACGGTCCAGCCTCCACTAATTACCATGCCTATGGTAATCAACAAACCGAGGAAAACCCACAGTGGGTTTATTGGTGAAAATAAAGGTGGGTCCATTCTCCTGCACATATTTTCTCTCTTTCTTGCAAAGGCGAACTTTGACCGTATGCCCTCCTTTATGGCATGACTCACCTTCGGGGGACATCCGTCAAACTCGAATGTCGTAGCGGAAACGCCTTTCACACGATGGGACATTCTCGCGCACTTTCGCTTTTCTCATACAAAAATGCCTCGTATCGTTAGGTGGGGTAATGTGGCCATCTCAGCAGGGTGTCTTCCTAAAGGGGGTATTTAATGTCGGTAACTCGTTGAAAAGGAAGATAGAGGAAGGGAAGCGAGGAAAAGCTAAAATCATTTTCTTTGAACGAAGTAAGTGTCTCCACACAATGTTATCCATAGTATCCCACTTGAACTCACAGCTGGCTTGTAATAATTTAACAAACATATTCGTTCGGCCGTCTACAGTTCTGATGTATTGTGGGGGGGGGGGGCAGCAACATGGACGATAGGTAATGCCAGCCATATGCGCCGCGTAGGTCAAATCTTTTTCAAATTCCATATTTACGCTATAATGTTATCTAGAAGTTTGGAAAAAACGCTGGAAGCTCGATATGCCCTAATTCTTACTGTTCGACACCATTGTCAATCCAGTGAAGAACATATAGCTTCAAAAAATAAGACTATATATGCGACATATTGACAACCGCCGGAGTACAGTATGCTTATTGCCAGCTATCGTTCATCTTGGACACCCGTATTGTGTGCAGTTACGTCTGGTATATAGCCTGCAATCGAAAGCATTGGAACGTTGCAAAATTTGGCTAAAAAAATCATTAATATTTGTTTTCAAAGCACTCAGCAAACACACAATTATCTCACAATGGAAGTGTTAGAAGTCGAAGTGATCTTTTGACATGAAATAGGTATCATCGGAAGCTGCTTGAAACGCATTTCTAAACCACTCTTCCTTAGCTGAGAGCGAGTCTGGCAAGGAAAAGAAAGTTAGTCAAAGTGGCTTTCTGATAGAGGTGAATCTGCCTTGAAGGGTAAACGCTGACTCCTAACCTATCTTCCTTATCTGCTGAGGGTTTTTGCGCCAGGAGTTGCGAAGGTTTTTATGAGCAAAAATTTGCATGTGCAGCTAGGATAAAATCAGTCATAACATTTTTTCTATGGCTGGAATGATTTTCGGGCTACTCTGTGCAACAAATATTCTTAATTCAAACATTCCACTCAATTCTGCCACGTCGGAACGATAGCAAAAATCTACGACTGATTTTATACTGACCTTGTTCTGAAAACTCCTTGCTCAGACACCCTCAGCAGATAAGAAAGGTATAAAGAAAGATAAGAAAGGTATATAAATCAACATTTCGTTCTCTTCAAGTCAGTATACAACTTACAGAAGGGCCACTTCGACTAATCATCTTTTCTTTATGAGTTGGGAGTTGGCTTTGAATCATGTAGGTTTCGTTGCTTGGAGGTATCCCTTGATCACGAGAGTTGCTCGAATGCTTAAGCACTAAGCGTAACATTGAAGAAGGAGTAGAATTCCGCGTTGATAAACTGTTCTAAATAGATTTGAGACCAACATGCATGGGCTTTAAGAGTTTTGACCGCCCTCAGCGTTGTAAATTTCCATTTAAATTCAATAATTCCTGACCCATATTCGTTCTGCAGCTAAGAATGGCTGTTTTGGGATCGGCGTTTCAAGTTGCTCCAGATGATACCTATTTCATGTCAAGAGGTCCCTGCGGCTTCTTGCACTTCCCTTGTTAGTCATTTCTTGTCCGTTCTTGAAGTATTTTTTGATATAATATCTTATTAATATTGACAAAATCTTCTTCCTTTTTTTTTTCTGAAAGTTTCTAACGTGTGTTATGATTTTACGAGAACGAATGAGATGGGCTGGATACTCGCATATATCAGTTCTAGAAAAACAAGGAGGTTATCTGCAAAGCTTTTGCGTATAGAGTGTATAAGGAAATAAGTTCGTTTTTGTGCGTTAATTTTGAGTGTGCCTGGAATTACGATCATGGCATCTATACGATCTTTCTGCATACACAATAAATGCCATTGACAAGAGTATATGTGTAATCACCGTGATATGAGTTGGTGTAACGACTGTTCTCACTGAGAAACTGGTTCTCATGGACTTGATCGTTCCAATGAGAAGTCATGATGTAGCGGGGAACGATCTCTAGGACCCATTTGTCATTACGGGCTTATGGATTATGTAATAATCTTTACACTTCATGAGTCAGGGGAAGTTCTAGGGAACGGCGATCAAATGGAATATTACTGAGAACTTTAATTTCCCCTTTTCTGTTTCAAAGGAAAATCGGAAAAGTTGAATGTTATAATTATCATCCTCAAATCAAATTCATGTCAGTTCCTAAATAATTTTTGGGAATATCTCTGCACTAACTGAAAGCCAATGTTTTAGTAGAACCGATGGTTGTCAGTCCTATGGATATATGTGACATGGGCCCGCCTGATGGACGATTTTGTGGTTTCAAGGTCATGTACACATATAACAAGGTAAGTATGCTTATTTGAGAGAAATTGGAAAAAGACATTTATCAGCCTCATCTATTCAGGAAACCTATCAGTGCGACGAGTTCTGGTTCCCCGGATGCACGACAGCTGACACAAACGCGAATCTCTTCAGCGATATGAACTCGTGTGAGAAACTTGCCGACATGTGCAGGCGATGTGAGTAGTATACATTGATTTTATCTGGACTATTTTCGTAAGAATTGTATCGTTACTTCGATGACTAATAACACGTAAAAATAATGCTTGTAGTCCCAAATTTTGCAACAACCATGTTCCAGACAGATCTTTCGAAAACTGTATTTCTCCAAGCGTAAAGCCTTTGGTCTCTTCGGTTCTGAAAGTGTGTTCGCATCAATCTGTGTTCATGGTTTTGCCTGAAATCAATTTCAGTAGAAGAAATAGTACTTTTGATGGTAGTTGGCTGCTCTTCAATAGGTTGGCACATAAGTTTTGCAACTTTTTCGTTCTCTTTTTGATTGTGACGCATTCATTTTTGGGCATAACTTCGATTAGATAGTAGACTACAAATTGCGCAAACAAGGGTAGTAGTTGATAGTGAAATGGAGAAAATTTACCTATTTCTCGGAAGCTGCTCAAATCCGAATTTCAAGGGTCGGAAAACCAAAATAAAGCCGTTTTCAGTCTGCAAACAAATCAAGCCGAAACTGTTCAGATGATTGAAGCTGCCTCTAACAAGAATCTGGGTGCAGTTTCGGCTTGATGTATTTGATTCAGACTGAGAACGGCTTTATTTTTGGTTTTCCGACTCTTGAAATTTCGGATTTGCCAGCTTCCGAAAAATAGGCAAATTCCCTCCGGTTCGAAGCCGAATATCAAACTGTTTGCGGAGTTTGTAGCCTACTATCTAATCTACATTATGCCTAAAAATGAATGCGTCACAATAAAAAGAGAAAGTTATAAAATAAGTTGCAGAACTTATGTGCCAACCTAATAATGCTTGGGTTGCGGGAATGAGATCTGAAAAAGTAAAAAACTAGAGGAAAACATTGACACTTCATTAGAATCTGAAACAGTATTGTCCAATTTTTATGTATCCTCTTTATACCTAAGCAAAATATGTGCTGATCGAGCGTCTTTATGAAACTTATCAAGAAAAATGCGAGAAAACCAATTCTGCAGCTTGTTCTCTATTCTTGTGTTTTTTCCAAAATTACTTGTTATGAAGACGCTCGATTAGCGCAAACTTTGCTCAGCTAGACGGTAATAAAACTAGTTAATAAAACTAGTGTCAGTGACTGTTTTCAATTTTATTTGCGAATTTTAGATTTTTTTGACATTGCTTAGAATCAACGAACCTCAATGTTTTTCTTTTCAGTTTTTATTTCTGCAATCTACGCTTAATTGAGAGTTGCCAAGGTATTATTGGAGTAAGTACTTCTTCTAATTCGTTGAAATTAACTTTGAGAAAATCATACAAATGGAGAAAAGGTAAAACTTTCTGAAATTGATGCGAACGAGCTTTTGGTTTAACCTAATAGAAAAGATTCTGAGAATTTCTTCAATGAAAAAAGATAGTTTTATAGTGGAGAACTCATAATCCGCTTTTTTTACAAAGCATCTTTTTTGCGTAATAGTGCAAATAATCTTTTTCAGCTACATCTGCTCCATCTACACCGGCTCCTTTCACTTTATTCCCGCCTCTACCGTCAACCACATCGGCGCCGTCCACGACCTGGTCACCTTCACCTCCACCCACTAGCTGGTCCCCGCTACCGCCACCATCGACACCTTCTCCCATGGGTCTTGGAATGTTTGGTGGGAAACAGAGACCACATCCTGGACGAGGTGGTGGAGGAGGTGGCATGGGACCATTAGGTGGTATGGGTGGTATGGGCGGCATGGGTGGCATGGGTGGACTCATGGGTGGCGGCGGAGGCGGAGGTAACGGCGGACCTTTTGGGACATTCCCTGGATTAGGAAGTGGTGAGTAATTTGATTCTTTGAATTGGCAAGGATTCATATTGTCTTTCTAGCCCTCGGCGGTCCATCCCCAACCATAACTGCCGGAAAAGAAGAAGAAGACCTTGGCCTACTTGGACTCATCCAGCAAGGTCTAAAAAATGCCCAGGCTATCCGACAAGGAGGTCCTCAAGGCAAACAGGTATTTGCCACTTGAGTGTCTCAAATTACGCAATTAGTTTCAATTGTTTTTTCTAGGCTGCTGCAGCCGCTGCTGGTAAGATCCTCCAACAATTCACCGGCTTCGATCTCAACAACTTGGGCGGAAATTTTGGGAATTTGTTTAATGGATAACAGTGGGCTATTGCTTATGTAATATATTTACTGTATATGCACCATAGAATGAGATTTGGTCGGACACTATGCCCGATGACTTTCGAAACACGGGAAATTTATGCTCATCTCGCGTGAGTATAAAACAACGACTTATTGTCGTACATGATAGCTTTGCACTGTCGAATAATGAGTCTTTCTGTTTGTCTTTCAAGATTCTGACTTTCTGCTGCACCTGTAATGGTCTCTTCCAAATGTACAGTTTAGTTATATAAATTTTAGAGTATATAGTCACTTGGCTTCCACAAAATAAAGTTTTCGTTGCATTGTTTGTTTCTTTACTGATTGGCAGGGACTTGATTCTCCCGCTTCGTGTTCTGCAGCTACCAGTCGTGTTGATAATTCAGCAACGGCACTGTTATTAGTTAATTAATGACAATGAGCATTAATAGAACGGTCATATAATGAGAAGAGAAGACGATAGATGCACTAGTCTCAAGAATCCTCGAGCTTGTTTGCACAAAGATGGTATAACATTGGAGGCGTAGTCTAGTAAAGTGATATCCTGATTCCATTATTCCATTTCTATCTGTGGTGAGTATTGCTCTTGTAAATCTGAAAATCTGTCACACTAACTTTTTATCGAATAGTCTTCGAGTGTTCTGTTGACGTCTGAAAGGATTGCTTATAATCTAACAACATCGTTCTCTTCTCGAGCAGTATAGCAAACCTCCAACGAGATGTGCAGACGTATTCGTGGAACGGATGGACCAGCTGAGAAATCTACTGGATATGACTTTTGTCCCTAAAACTCGTGCGCGCAGCCATCGACGACAACCAAGAAGATCGTGGAAGTCCGAAGCGAGAAACAGGGAAAATTGCAAACTTCTGTAGTGAGGCTCGCACATCACGTGAGGATGAGCCATCTAAGTATCCAAGTAATTATCTATTAGATGTAGCTCTGCGGTCGGCCAAATCCAATGAGGAGACTCTTTGTTGCCTGTCGGACAAAGCCCTTACAGGTGTCTTATACATATTGGTTACAGTGGACTTTTTGACTCACAAGGTGAGCCGAAGTGTGGTGTACCAAGACTTTCTTGCTATTGGGTTTAGGTTTGATGTACCAAGGTTTTCTTGCTATTGGGTTAGCTACTAAAATTTGAAGTTTTCATCTGACATCCATCGGTTTAAGAAATATAGCCAATCGTGCATAGGCTTCTCTTGAGTTATCTTGTCATGGGGAGACTACTAATTGAATATCCTGAAATAAGCTCCAAGCTCGACCTGAGTTAAGCATGTAATACAGCACTCGCCCAGCGGCAGTACAGTAGTGGTTCGCGCGTCAGACGAATGCTTCTATCTTAGACATGGAGTCGCCAAATTGGCGCTAAACGTAGATAGCAAGTTTGAGTCAGATGTCACAAACCGGACATATGTTATCAAGCTATGCAGCATCGGTTATGAATCACGTATTCTATGTAGAGACAGCAAAACCTGAGAGGAGCTTATTTTGCTTTTTCATTCCCGACTGCTGTGTATAAGTGATTGACAAAGCTTATCTAAAATTTAGAAATTGAAGTGTGTTTGCGTTTGCTGCTACGTTCAAATATAATCTCTGCTTTCTAAAACAATGTCATAGTCAGAGTTCCATATTATTACCTTCATTGATTCACTTCAGATATTATCACACAACAACAACAAATATACACTATAACTATACAATTGGTCCACAAAGAATTTAATATTTGTAAAACTCAAGATTTCAATTGAACTCACTCAAAAAAATCTGTATACATAGTCCAGAAGCAGTGCATATAGAAAGGATTACTTGTAAAACATTCTGAACAAAGTGAACATTGATCAACAATGATACTGGAGGGGTGGGATTCGTACAAATGAATGGGGGGTCTGCCTATCTGTGCCTATAATGTTGGTCCATAAACTGAAGAAGATGACATGGTCAGGGGAGTGCAAACGGTCATGTTTATTACTCTTAAAGACATTTTTTGAGATCTCTATACAATAAGTAATACAGTAAGTCGAAATTTAGACCACCCCAGTAAATTACCAAAGGTTTCATGAGATATGTACAATTCATATAACAGTATGAGAAATACGTAGCTATTGAGAAGATACTCGTATCCGTGGAATTGTGCAGTTACTTGTTTTGTAAAAGTTCTTTAGCGCATATGGATTTGGTCCTTTGATCAGGCCGACGGAATACCGAGAACTCGGCGATATGGGGACATGACGATGATCGGGCATGTCGGACCTGCAAATCGTAAAACATCTACATTTCAAAATCTTGGAAAACACACGTTGTGGTTTGAATTTGCTGTAAGTTTAAGGTTCATAGCGTTTGAAAAAAATCTCAAAGCTTTGATCTACGAGGTAAGACTTTGCAAAAATCATGAGCATTTCTCAAAATCGCGACTAAGTTCAATATATGGACCTGTAGATCACGTCCTCATACAACATACTCTCTACCTTCCTTGTTCCAAAGAAATTCATTCGGATAATGTCAAGGAGAATTTCCTCACATTTCCTACGCTGCAGTTTTATTTTCAAGCAAGGCTTGGTTTTAAGGAAAGCAAACTGCACTTTGCCATAATAGCTAAGATTTTTTTACCTGCTCGAGATACGCGTCCTTGATTTCGTAGATCACAAAGCTTATAAATTTGCTCCATGTTGAATAGACCTTCTCCTGAAAAGAGTATAGTTTTTTGATGTTGGAGGTCTAGCTTAGGACTTTTTTTTTGTTATCTGTTCAAATGTTACAAATCAGCACATTTTGAAATTTTACCAGATTTATGAACCCAAACACGTTTATCAATTAACTCCCTTAGAAGAACTAAATATAATCTAGCTTACTTGAACTAATTAGAATTCTTACTTTCCAAGCTTTGGAAATAACGAATTTAGAACTACATTGTGTGGAATTTAGATAATAAGAAGAAAGTATAGTTCAACATCTTAATAGCAAAGCAATTGCAGAGAAAAATTAGGTTGTCTCACAATTTTTTTTTATATATTTGAGCCACAAAATTGACATTTTCCAAAAGCTAAGGCGCTTACGAAGGTGCAGATAAAGATTTAAATTGCTGTAATTTTTGCTTCCCAGAACTTCTATCCAAGGAACACTTGGTCTTTGAATTCTGAAGCCTAAATTTCACGAATAATTCGAATTCTCCAAAAACAGTTGTAGACTCCGCAAGCCTATGATCCTTCACTAAACCAACTTAATCGTCCCACAGATTTGATTTTCCCGGATAATCATGGCAGATTTTTGATGATACTTGACCCTTGTCTTATATAGTATTAAAGGTATCAGACATCCCTCAAATCCTCACATTCCCCTGGCTTAGCAACCCACAAATATCAGTACATCCCAGCACGACATCTCTATGAATATTTATATGCGCACGTCATTATGACTCGTCTTAGTTGATCAGTTGCTAGTGTGTGTGATGAATGTTACCCCTCTCGCCTACGAGTATTTTCTCCCCACACCTCCCCATCTACCCCCTCAAACCTCTATAAATAGTTATGCTAGCATGGATTGCTTGCAGTCACGAATTAATTGGGTTGTGGATAAGATTGATGAGTGAGGAGATGGCGTCATGCGCGAGTTGGCGGAGAGCTCAGATAGAGTAATTACTCACCGTTGAGTCACGACAAAGTAATGAGAGCAGGACATTTTTGAAGATGAGCCACTTTTCGGCTGTAAAGCTCATTGAGCGAACGTTTCCGTGTTGTCGACCGACGATCCTGAATTGAGTGGGGTGAAATAAGAAAATTCGCATTTCAAAATTTTTAACTGAAAATTGGGCTGGTTATTGAGTGACAGTGTGGAGTGGAAATTTTTTTCGATAGAACGCCGAAGACAACATTGATATACACATAGATGTTCTTGAAAGTATCTTCTCTGTTGGAAACAAGATCATAACTATATTGAGAATTCTACCAAAAATGTCATCCGATGAAAATCTCGCCTTTTTGAAATTTTGAACAATTCCTTTTTCATTTCTCAGAATCTTAGAAGGAGGGTCGTCCGATGAAAACCTTGCCTCGTTAAAATTTTGTACAATTCTTTTTTTATTTCTCATTGTTAGAATCTAAAGAGGTTCTGCTAGTGGTGTAATGGGGAGGGGGGGGGGGGGAGGTGAAAGAATGATTCTTTTGTCCGATTTGGCAAGGTCAGTCCTTTTTTTACTTGAATTTCCTTGGATTACTCAAGGGTTGGGGGGGGGGTATAGATATTTGATGCTAACTCAAATGCCCGGACTACTGATTACCAGTTGTGCAAAAGTGCGTGATTCCGAAAAACCACGAAAGTGCAGTAAATGATAAATGTTCTTGGCTGCGTCTAGATAGAGCGCAATAAAATATAGCACCAAAAATTGCGCGTAAGATTGAGTGTAAGTAGTCCAACCTAGCCTTCCCATTTAGTACTTCTGTTTACAAAAGGAGGAACAAATTTTGAGCGAAAATGGGAGTATAGTCGATCTTAATGTCAATGTGGAGAATGCACACTACGCGCGGTACCTCACGACTATTCGTTAACAGTCGTAAAAACAGTTCTAATGCTACAAATAATTGAAAATGGTTATTTGCTGTTTCAATTTATACATGCTAAAAAATGAAAGGAAGCAGAATAATTCGTCAAATTAGCAAATTGTGCGAATATGCATGCCGTGAGATGACTTGTGTGGTGTGTAATTACAGATGTTGCAAATGCTCCGTAAAAAGATGTGGTTTTAAAGTCAAAGCGTATTTTTTCTATGTCATTGTAAACATGAGAAGTATTTACTTTTGTTAGCTCAACTATGGAATTCTGCATTTTTGCGTTTCTGCATTTTTGCTCAAAGGTTTTACTGTAACAGTCATCCAATTCTTCCCTTCATTCGCAACATCTCAGCTTGAACAAGCCATCCTAAGATGTTGTCCTTCCTTTATTGCCCCCTTGGCATCGCTTCCGATGAAAGGCAAGTCACATTTGTTCCGGTATAAGCATCTATTTCCTCACAAATCTCGTAATATTGCCCTTTTGCAGTTTGCAAGGGCAGAAAACTACAGAAAAGTGCATTGCTGTTTCTTGCGATGAAAAATTACGAGATTGATTATTGTGCAAGGGGTGTAGAAAATGATCCCTAGGGGGTAGTAGACTACTAGCTCGCCGAAGCGAGAACAACATGTGTGCGATAGCAGGATGTTACGTCATATAGAGTAGCGATTCCAAAAATAGCCATTTCGGGTGGAGGGGGGGGGGGTAGTATGGAGACGGGGGACGGGGGAGGGGAGTAAAGGGAAAGTTTCCGAAGTGTACGGCAAGATACTGAAGAATGAAGAATCCCAAAAGGACAACCCTGCTTTCTTGAGAGTAACAAGGAATAAACATGGTCCATGTCATTCAAATAATTGTTTTTCTGAAAGAGGACATTTGATAAATCGATACAGTTTTTTTCAATGATTTTTGAACAAATCATGGGGAGAGTCTTTAGGGGATGATATAAAGAACAATTAAAATTGTTTAGGGAATTTTTTACAATTTTTTCGCCTTTGGAATTAAGTGGTCGGATTTGCTCGTGATTTAATGCTCCGCTGAAACTGGGAAATTCGTGAATAATTACGAATTTTCGAAGCACTTTTTATTACGTATGCAAATTTGGGGCCACATTTCCATTTCACTGTAAAAATTATGGCAGTCGAATGGGGGGGGGGGGGGGGGGGAGGAGGAAAGCTACCCAAAAACGTGAGATAATATCCGGATGTTACAATCACATCTTCAGAAAAACCATCTCTGTGCCAAGTAAACCATGAAAAATCCGGATACAGCAATTTACAAATTCCCCAAAGCTGGAAAATTTTGTAAAATCTCAGAAATTTTCCGAATGCCTTTTTCATCGAAAAAATCTTATTCAACGGAAATTTTTTTACAGCTTAGCAACAGCGCCAGAAAACATTTCAAATTACTCACCTAAGCACTTGCACAATATTTTCTGCTTGATCGGGACCTTTGGACAGCATTTCCATAATACCCGTCAAAAATCGTTGAAATTTCCCAACATGTGTCCGAAATCGTTGATCTTTACGCAGCTCATCTTCTTTCAGGTTGTCAAGCCCAAAATGTACAGAAAGTTCGACTTCTTCTTCCTAAAATGTAAAGCACAATAAGCGCCATAAAAGAGGAATTGAACGGATAAAAAAATTAGAAACTAGAGGAAGGAAAAATTGACCTACCAGGAATAATTGAATGAACATCCGCTCAAAAAGTCCATATTTATCAGCAACTTTTTGATATTCTTCGCAAATTTTGGCCACCTCTTCTTGGTCAGCCATAAAAATTCGACCGGAATAGCTGAAAAATTTCTTTCAACAGTTATTGGTAGTCCTGAGAAAAATGAGAATTTTGATGGAGCTCTTTTTAGGACTTCGATGGTGGTCACATTTGGTATATCATTTTAAAGAATTAGTGCATTGTTTTCATTGAGAATTTACAAGATTCAAATAAACAACCACAAAGGTTCCTAACGAAAATGAGGTGGAGTTGGAGGGGGTGGGGGAAATTTTTATTATTTATTATTTATTATTTATTTATTATTATTTTTTTTATTTTCATTATCAAAGGAATAATGCTTTTTACAGCAATGGGAAATTTCAACGCTTTGCATTTTTATCTTTGGTTAGTTGTAATTTTGTGCCTAAGGGAAAGATTTGACTGTAAACTACATCTGATAGACCAACGCTTTATTCTTAGAATAATCCTTTTGTATTTTATTACGTTATATTCTTCCATTCTTCACATAATGAAGAATGAAGTTATGCATTCTTTATTCCTTTTTGAGGAAACTTCATCTTCAAACTTCAAAAAGGAAACTTCAAAAACTATATTCCAAGCACTCTCATTCACTATTATTATATGGTCATAAACAAAACAATGGCCATTCCCTTATCCCTCGGCACAAAAAAAAACACTTGAAGATACTTTTCAAACAAAGAACATCGCCCGGAATTGGGCTCTCAACAGACCCATCAACGAGCGGTCGTTTACTCTTGACAACGATGTACATCGGGAGATGAGCTTTGGTCGATGAAAAACATTAATGGAACTTATTTTTGATGTTGTTGGAGGCTATTGAAAGCTAGACAACAGTTTTTTCTGGAGAGGGGGGGGGGGAAGAGTTGTAAAATTGTAGGCTTTTATGAGTGTACGGATTTTACTGGAAATTCTTGCTATTATATTTCTGGCAGCCACGCAAGTTTTTTCTTGTGTGAAAAAAACAACATATAAGGATTTTAGAACTACATTGAATTTTTGAAAGATTTTGACTATTTGAAAGGGAAATTCTTGCATAATATAGCTCTGTTTGAATTTGTGAGAGTTCAAAGTGTTGAGGACGAAAAATTCTTGTATTCCGATATCGAATTTTTCGTTATTTAAAAACTTCTGCTCATTTTAAATTGGAGGAAGGGTAGGGGCAGGGGAGTACGGGAAGAATATCGAAAGTAAAGATTTGTGTGAAAATATAGAATGTTTTATGACGTTAATGCCTCCAGTTATTCCCCTTACCTTTACACCCTTTACCCGTTCACGATACATCTCCCAGATTCTTGATAATGCTATTTTTTCCCGTTTCATTTTTGATTTTATGATTAGGTCTCCTGCTTGCAAAAGATACACATAGCAAGCAATTAGCTACAAGTGCTACTTGCGCCATGAGTGCAGATGAAAATTGATACTAATTAGACGTTCAGTTCTTGGAACGCTTAGGTTGCATTCGCTGTCTTGACTCCCAAAACAAAAGGACAGTCAAGGATCAGGTTTAATCCAGCACGATAAAATTGGGAGTGATTCTTGGAAAAGAAAAAAAAAGATGAGAATCAAGAATAGCTACATAATTGCGTGCACTGTAGGTGAATTAAAAGCAGGTTTTCTTTGAGGGGCAAATCTTGTATATTAACAGTGGTAGGCCGAGAGGGGGGGGGGGTGCAAACTAGTTAGAACATTTCTTGAAAATTCTAGACAGTTCAAATCCGCTAATTTCCCCGGGATCTAGGCTGCCAGTCCTTTTTCGAAATAAGGCTATGAGCCATGCAAAAATTTGAGAAATTTAACTCAAAATCTTATCCAGATTGTAGATTTCAATGTATTTCGGGACTTTACTGGTCCGCTCATAATTACGTTCTGGGTGAACGTTTCGAGTTTTGCCGCTTGAAGAACTGATGCAGATTGCACCTCATTTCAACAGATGTACCGCTAAATTCACTCGAATTACCGTACTCTATACCTTATGATTACCTCATGATACCGTTAAATTATCCAAAGCATAATGAATTCTAATTAAAATGATTATGATTCTTATTGTTTTTCGAAAGCTTTGCCAATTTCCGTTTCTGCACTTTGCGCCTTCTCGGTTTCAACAAATAAAAAGCACAAAGAGGATTAATTTTTTATCTGAAACATAATTCCAAGGATTAAGCTCTAAAACGGCAAAAACCATAGCCTTTGCCTGAAAGCGTCATCTAGGAATTGTGGGACTTGGTTGACAGACAAATTCTTGGAAAGAAAAAGGGTTTGCTTTTCTAGTGAAATTGTACAGGTTAGAGGGTGGAGGAGGGAAACAAAGGGGAGGGAAGGATGGAATGGATTTTTCTCTAGTTATAGTACTCTAAACTAGGTGAGTTTGTTCTGGGAAGTTATAATTCTGACAAGTACTTTGTTGAGCTTCTCTTGGGAAAACCACTACTACCTGCACTGAATTTTTTAAAAATGTGGCTAGACAGAAGGGAGTGAGGGGGGGGGGGAGGAAGAGCAGAAAGAAAAAGGAGAAAATAAAACGGGGAGGAAGGAGGTGAACGATGGAATTGGGAATATAATTCCACACCGAAAAGAATCTTGAAAATAGAGTTTTGAGATTACAGTAGCCCACAGGTTCTTTGAAGTACAGTAACCTAAAAATAGCTCTGCTAACCTGCTATTTATGTAGACGTTGTCCCCACTTGGTGGACGTTGTAACTTCTTTACAAGATTCTGAATCCTTGCCGTATGCATCGCCCTGAAACATATAATTATTGACTTTTCACCAATTATCTCTTCACAACGTAGACCAAGGGTAGACATTAGGGAAAGCTCCTGGGAAAATTGCAAAGAGGAGACGTTTAGGGGGTGAAAAAGCACAGCAAGCAGATTCAAAAAAGCAAGGGCAAGGTGAGATAAATGCGTTCACCAAATTTGATGGTCCTTTACCTTCTAAGTACCGGTGACGGTACATTTATTTGCGATTGACTTCGACATTTCGCATACATTGACTGTGGATTGGCTATAGCAGTTCGGTCAAACATCAGCACTGGAGCAGAGAATGTGTGTAAGTGAGCGTGTCCGAGGGGGGGGGGAGGTGCGATGAAGAAGTAGCGGATCGGGATTTATGTAGATTAGCTCAAGAATAGGAGATGGATGGACTATGGCGAGCCCGCGAAAAGGAGCTCTGCTGAATGAAACCAGAGTGGGTGTGCTTAGACGCACATACACACACACACTTCTGCTGCTTCTAGAGATCCCAAGTGGAAAAAACTTCTCAAGTGGCTTTACAGAATGACGCCAGAGCAAACAGTTGAAGTGGAGCTTTTTCCGACAACGTCTTCGTCGGCGCTTATACGGCCAATTTCCCCCGGACTTCAAAGCAGTTTTTGAATTTCAGGTTCAGAAAGGAAATTCGGGAATTATAGGTGTGAATAGACAGACAGATGTTGTGTACTACGTTGAGTTTTTGCGGCTTTTCGCTTCTCACAAACAATTCCCCCGGGGCTTGCTCGCCCCTTCGTGACTGCTCACGTTGGCGGGTGATAAGTGTTGGCTCCGCATAGACACTTGGAATCTGCCATCAAGAGCTATAGAAACCAGCATAGCACGAGGAAAAACAAAGTCGAAGGCAGAATTTTCACCAGTAAGAATGATGAAGTTATAGACAGATATAATAGAATTTGTGCGATGATGAGTTAATCACTTGATTAACGGTTAATTCATTATGCTCATATGACTATTCTGCCTTCGAAAAAAAGCAAGAGCTCGTCTCTGACTGAGGGCGAGGCGCCGGAAAAGTAATAGATGTAGGTCGAAATCTTCTAACCATTAGGTTGCCGCAAAAAGATGCCTTTTCTAAGCAGATCAAGCTGTATTTTCCTTCCAGGCTTAGGGCACTGTTTAATAGAGCAACATAGGGTCTATAAAATATTCACCGGGGATACAACTAATTCTCAGTTTACATAAAGCTTAGAACCGAAGTTGAAAAAATTTTCATTAGCTGAAGACTGCATACTCGAAGGAAAAAAACAGTAGATACGTGCTGTTTATAAATGCTTTTGCTAGAACTTTTCGCGCATGGGAGTTGAGAACAAAAAGATGATCCAAAAATGGCAAATTTCTTCCCCAGCTCCTCTGACATTTACTTAATTAGAGCAAGCCTTAATAAGTATACTGGTTATACCTCTTCTGTAAGTGGTGCCTTGGTAATCGAAAAATCCAAGTTTGACACAAAACCAGAAAATAGTGTTTGCATTTTCTGCTTGTTTTTCATTTTGGGCCGCGAAAAATCCAGCAAATGTATTCATGAATACTACTACTACTAGGTACTAGGTTGGCTATAATACTAGGTTGGCTAAAAAATAAGTTCGTTTTGGCATACAAATCATCATAAAAAATTTTCTTATTGTTTCAATCTATGATTTTTTGTGGGAAAGTAGTTCAAAGCTTCCTCTATCACATATCAAATAATCAGGATTTCTACCATCAGTAAAGACAGTTATGCGTCAACATGGCGAGATTCCCAAAGCACAATTCTTTGACTTCCTTTGCTTCGTTTTCATGCTGTAATGGATGTAAAGAACAGCAATTTGGTGTTTGTATACAGAGGAGTTTTCCCTGTTTATTGAACAACAAAAAAAAACTGTGCTCTGCCATTTTGAAAATGTTTTACTAAGAAAACCAAATTCCCTCATATTTGCGCATTATGAGAAAATTGCGATTTTTCACTTCTTTGCAGATTTTTTTCTTTGAAAGATAAGTTTTACTCAAACAGAATATATGCTCCAATACCCACTGAAATGCTCTTTTCAGAGATACCAAACATTGGACAAAAAATTTTTCTACAGCATCTGTAAGAGCTGAAGAAGCGACCGAACTTATTTATTAGCCAACTTAATACTATGCGCTTACTGTATGATCCGTTGAGGATACCGTAAATTTTCGGAAGGAAGTCCAAATTTCGGGATTGTTAAGAAATTTTAGATTTTGTCTTTAATGTATATTTGGATTGGGACATAGGTGGCTTTGGTGGTCGTTCTGCAGAGTTTTGCTTGCTCTACCAGAGATACCCAAAATTGCTAAGAAAAAACAACAATTATTCAGAGGAAAGGTTTATTCAAGGGACAACTCGGTAATTGATGTAGTCTCAGAGGTACATAAAGCATCAGTCATCAGCCTGTTGAAGATACCTTACAACAGTACATGTCGTGCTCAAGGATAAGTAGACTTTCAAAGATCAGCTTACAAATACCGTAACACCACAGCAGTCCATCAAACTACAAAAGGCATATACTTTAGTGGTCCTATTTGAAAAACTTGATTGTCTTCAATAAATTCTCGGAAAACGAATTACTTCTGCTCATGTAATGATTCATCTATAAAAAAATAAAATTCGTCTACAAGAGAAAATCTGCAATAAAGCGGCTCTCAACTCTAGACGGATATTATGCAAGTAGTACAGAAGATACGGTAGTTTAGCAATGATACAGTACAATAAGATTTGGCAAATGGGCTAAATTCACAATGATCCGCATTAGGCTGGGAGATGACTGGTTTGAATGCCGTATCACTACAGTAATACATGAAAGTGTTGCAAGCAATGGCAGACTGAGGAAAGTTATGCGAATGACTGTTCTTATCTATCAATGAAAGAACAAATCGTGTAGATCAAGAAATTTCGAAACTAGCCTTGCTAATTTTGAGCCTTTCAGAAAATATTGAATAGGAAAATCAAGCTACAACCTTTCATACTAGGACAATTTTTTACAACAAATGCAGAAAATTTATTGGGTACTGCCGGTGGATTGAAAACGTGTGCAAGACATTATATTTAACAAATGCTTATGTAAGAGTAAACACTTACACGATTTTGTGAGAACTTCTCATGAGAGAAGGCATTGAATTGCTGCTGCTGAAGGAGAATTGCCAGACTGAATGGTGTGTTTTTGTATTGGACTACTTTATATGCTTAACGTCATCTTCCACGAATTTGGAAGGATTTACGTAATCCTGTCTCGAGTTTCGTAACTTCAACGATGCTTTGCGCCAATTAAGGCACCGGCAAAGAAATAAGAATGTGCTCGAAAAGAGAGTGCAAGAGATCATCAAGATAATCACTTTGGACACTTTATTTGACAGAAACAAAGTAGTACTTTGTACTTCTAAAGTGTGATGAATCATGAGATTCTAATCTAAAATCTACTTGTATTTTCTAATCACTTGACCTTGGTGATAGCTACGCAACAGCGGCAGCACTCGTCGCTACCGTAACCTTACAGTAATCCAAGGATTCCGAAACAACAGGAAAAACAAGGTCAAGCTTTATCTCATCTCAAGACTTTTGGGGAATAAACGAGTATAGTAAAATTTCAGAACATTCTTTTTAGCCTGTCTCAAACTTGCAAAGAGGCTTGAATTTTTTTGCTGCAAATACTTTCTCATTCAGAATCCCAAGATAGCATCAACTCGCAGTGCCTGGAAATATTGTTAGGCTTGATTTTACTTGAGGCTGCAAAAATAGCTCAGCAGTAGGAAGTTCTGGTTTTTATACTTTCACTTGTCATGTGCAGAAGAATCTATAGATAGCTCCTCTTCAATAAAAAATGCATGAGGCGTAGATATGAGTTGTTCCATAAATCTCACTAGAATACGATTGGGGTATGAGAAATCGTATTTGACTCGTATTTTGAATGGGAGAAATTTCCTCGGGTTAGAAAAAGACTTCCTACCTGGAAGTCTTTTTCTAACCAGAGGAAATTTCTCCCATTATATTATATTTTATTTTCTCCCATTATCAGTATCCAGGTAATAACTTCACGACTCGTATCGTAAAAATGGAAAAATCAAAAATGGAAACAAGTAGAATAGGGTGATATTATATAATAGTATTTAAAATTCACAATCCTTGAGGTTTTAAATCATTTTCCAACCTTGAATGAATCAGTCTTTAAAATTCCTATGTTTAGAACCTTGCAGTATTGTCCTACTCATACTCGGAATTTACATTGCTGAACTGTACTTCCCAAAAAGGGTATTTTTGAATGGGAGGGAGGGGGGGGGGGTAGGAATTTTGACAAAAACCTTTTCGAATGCAGAGGAAGTCATGAGCCACCTCCAAAAATTTTGTTGCGATACTTCTCAAAACATTCACGAAGCCTTGGTGGAAAATTCAATTCAAAAATAGTTAAGTTTTTTTTCACTATTGCTCTGATTCCAAATGGTTCTATTTTTCGAATTTTGCACTCAAAACAATTACATCGCAACTAACCTCATTTATTTATCACAACTAATTTTGAAAATATTTGATGCAACTGATCTTGGCATTCAGAAAAAGGTTGTAAAAGGGCAGCAGCTTTCTCATTTTTCAAAGCCAATATAAAATTTTGTAAAATTTACAAGATCATCTTAATTACGTATTTGCAAATTAAACAAGCCACATAATAAATATAAATCGACGGTTCACAAGAATCATGTCAACTTCGGGTGAAGTCGAGGCATTGCTACTACTTCTCCCCCCCCCCTTCCGCCCCTCCCCACCCTCTTCTCCTAGCTATTCTGACCCCGATCATCCTCATCTAAATTTTCTAGTAAACACCACAGAAAAGTGCAGAGTACAAGCTGCAAAAGAGGGCACTTCAAGAAAATTCAATTTTTTCCCGAGCGTAAACAAAATATATTTTCGTAGGGGTAATCATGCCTGACCTTTCAATCACGTCAACTAATAGAATTTCTAGACTTTGCAGATATTTTGGCCTTCTTCTGGAATAAACAGGAAGAGAATGTATAGAAAGCATAACAAGCGAAATCAAGCCTAACTAGAGCTCTTTTCAACTTCGAATAGCCCCAGTCCTATAATAGGATTTTGCGTAGTGCGTGCATTCACTAATCTAATGGAGGACACTTCTGGGAAAACAAGATCGAACTTCCCTGTTAGGACATTTGAAATGAGAAGGGAGAAACGCCAGGAAACGGAAAATCGAGCTCGGAAGAGCTTTAGAAAGAATGAATGGGTTTCTGCATACATTTGGTCTGAACTATTCCA